GGGGGAAAACAATCTTCTGTAAAACTTCTTTGATTTTTCATTAAAATTTTGTTCGACGCTGGGTTCTAGCACGCTGCCATTTTGAAATCGTGACATACGATACATCCAGTTCGACTCCTTCTCTTTCCTATCGAGTTACGTATTTTATGTCTTGTCTTAAAATTTTATCGAGCTTCGTACATCTTCAATACGTTTGAAGCAATAACTTCTCAACCGTGCAAAAATATTACCAGAATTCTGCTTTACTCCCACGTCATCGTTCTTGTTCTGACAACTTTTATCGAGAAATTTCCCAGACCGATCGTGCAGAAACCATGAATGCATTTCACAGCGAGAGCATGCAGCTACACTCACGCCACCATGGAGAACGTCAACCAAATAAGAATTAAAATTGTGTCGGGGCGAAAGGGAATTCGAGAGACAACGTCGCAAAAAAAAAAAATTGCCCCGTCACAGAGGGGGATTAAAGTATATTGGTTCGACAGTTTATGAGCAAAATAGCACATCGTGGATAAAAAGAGTGGTAGTAACGTCCACCGAAATAAATTACTCGAGCATTTATAACACGGATGAGCTAATTTTTTGCACTCACAAAAGTCGTTCCGACTTGAAAAAATAGTCTACTTTTCTATTGTTCACGCTAGGAAAGCTTCAAGCCGAGGTTGAGTATTAAGGAAGAAGTTGAACAGGATTTACGTGACCAGCAAATATGTATTAGGCAACTCCTCCCCTCTATGAATCATGCGACATTCATTTTTCTTCTTACCGCGAGTAAATCTCGACACCTTGGATTTAATGATTTCATTTATCTTGTAACATTGTATTCAATTTCCTGTTTAGACCTTTTTACTACTCTTGAATAGTCGTAACTATAACATTTAAATTTTTACTTATTTTACAAGATTCATATTTCTATAATAATCAATCTCTTGTCTTATTGCACAGAATAATGTTGTTTGACACACCTTTTCCCGCGAAATTTATTTCCATTTGTTATACAATACTTTTTAACGGCTTTGCTCGAACAAAATGGTTACGTAAAAATATCGTAATAAAATTTTCATCGAATCGATTATATTTCAGACGTTGTAAGTTTGCAGAAATAAAAATGTCGATCAAAAAAACATTTCCTTTTCAATTATCTGAATTCTTTATTTACTTATTTCAAAAATATTTATCGATCTGTTTGAGACAGTTTTAGGTTATGTCAGGAAATTATTTCGAAGTCGTTTCAGTAAACTGAAGAGAACACATTGTTGTGGAAATCGATAAAAACTGAATGGGGGAAAAAACTAACAATTAAATCGTTTATAGATATGCATATTTTATTCCTTTAGCGTTCTGGTTACTTTTCATCGGGCACAGGTAAACGAATAAATCTAACGTAGAAGTATTTTCTGATTTATCGTGTATGGAAATCAAACGACTGTTCGATCATGCTGAAAATTGTATCAACGGTCGCAAAAATTTCGCTAAAATTGGGAAAAAAGTGGACGAACTTTTTACCATATCGACAAAATAACGGTTACGTTACGAAATTACCTCGGAGATGATCGATGATGGAATCTGAAATTTTTAGGAGAAATAAGTTACTTGGAATGTAACTTTCATTCTAGACTGTTCTCGTCCATCAAGTCTCGAATTATGACACTGATGGATTCAAAGGTTATGGTCTTTAACTATAAATGGGAAAACTTCGATATTTTTAAAATGATATATATTTTATAACAATGACTATGGATCGACAAATCTTGTAACAATTTTCTCGAAATTTGTGTTCAGTGTAATAGTCGTAATTAAATTTCTTTATAAGTCGGAACCTGTTAAACATACTTCTATCATTCTCGTCTTATTTTGGCGCGTAGATCTAATTAATACATTTTCTCGCGAACAAGTCTATTACGAGGCTATTTAATCAATAGCAACTGAGGAGTGCCCTTTATTTCACTTCTGTAAGTAAATGTACAAGGTGTGCCAATAATTTCGATGTCATCTTCGTGAAATTTATCTGACATAAAGTAGTAAACAAAACTGCCATAGAATTAAATTTTGATAATTAAATGTACAGTAAACGGAACTTGAGACTTCCAAGAATTCTGAGGAAACAGTATAGAAAAAAACTACACATTTTTAATTACGTACGTTTAATGGAACTTTTCCAATAATTCATGCAATCGAGTACTGAAGAAACTGACGTGACACCGACCCCTTCATCCTGCAGGGGCAAAAGTTAGTCCACATTTATTATTCGTCAATAAATCCCAACTCTGAGCTATTCTAACCTGAGCAAAACCAGCGACACTTTTGAAATTTTACAAATAAACAACTATCGTAGATATCAGTTTGTGTAAAGAATATAATACACTTTATTATAAGTTAATGCATACAACAAATAAATCGGAAGGAAAAACCACGTGCTACTAGAACGAACGATCTAAGGAAGACTGCCGGTCGGCTTGTGAAAGATATCACGTGACAGACTTGTTTCTTAAGTGGCGTAGAGAGGTCTCCACTGTGAGGATTTTATATCGGTAATCTACAATTTCAAGTTACGTGAATTTTTTCGTACAAATATACACAATACTTTCAAAGATATTTGTTTTTTCCAGTGCATTACTCCTCCATAACTTCTTATTTCTTCACATTTCTAGTAATTTCTTTGAACGTACTTTAGAAAAAAATTATTAAAATACGATATCTAAAACATCAATATCTCACGGGATATTGTATTCCAAGCAAAGAGCATACTTTATTAAAAAGGGTATTCGTACGTTCAGCTGCCATATTGCGAGTACTTACGCATCGTTTCTTTATGTTCTTCGACCATGTAAATTCCGTTATGAAGAACATAAACGATGTATGAAGTGGCAGAACCACAGACGAGGTATACGAGTAGACTTTTCACCACAAACTAGGTATACGAGTAGACTTTTCACCTTATGGACTTTCGCGGCCGAATCTGAATGCCATACCGACCTGAAAATTCGGAGCTGATTTTAGCGGCCTCTTCTCATGGATTGCGGTCAGTTGAGAAACTATTCATTGAATTAGCATTGATGGGCAGACAGCTGTAGTGTATGCGTAATCACATGTGAGTTGACTATGGAAGGGATTAAAATTCATTTTTGAATCTATTGGTAACGTTGCGAATGACACGAAAATGGTAATGGGGTTTCGAGACCCCATAAAAATGGGTCCAAAAAACCCATTGGGTGAAAGATCTACCTGTATACCTCGTTTGTGACAATACTCTTGAATCTTTGATGAATCAATGAGAATTAAAACACAAAACACATATTAATGCACACGAAGAGAAGTTGTGTATGTTGGATCGTAAATTTGGAAAATATTCAAGCAACGAGGGGTTTAATCTCGAAACATGCGAGAACAATTCTCGTATCGGCCAATAGGAACGTTTTAAAAATATTAAAACGATTATAAATATTATATTAAAAAATTTCAAATCGTTCTGGAAAAATTATTTTCGGTTGCGGGGGTCAATTACAATCATTTTTGGTGAATACACATATCTTCGAAATCCTACTTGCTTTCGAGAAAAAAAATTGGGTAGGTGCAGAAATTTTGCGACAGAAAAAAATTTGTCAAATCGTTCTAAAAAAATTATTTTCGGTTGCGGGAGCCAATTACAATCATTTTCCGTGAATAGACATATCCCCGAAATCCTGCGCATTTTCGAGAAAAAAATTCAGTACGGGTGAAACTTTAAACGTTAATAACTTTTTAACAAAGCCTCCATCAACAATTTGATACTCTTGATTTTCGTCTTATTTTTGCCTCTAGAATCTCTCATTACAATTTTCGAGGTTACCCTAGATAGTAATCGCGATTGTAAAAGAAATACAATAAACATTCCAAGCTAACGTTTTTCTTTTGATGCTATGCGAAACACACACGAGGTATACGAATAGACCTTTCACCTTATGGACATTGATGACCCAATCTGACTGCCATACCGAATTATTTTTTAAATAAATAAGGATTTTCGGTGTTGTTGTCGATGAGGTACATCCTTTCGTATTTTAATAATCTTGAAACTTTAAATAATCTTAATCGATTGGTTACTCCAATGAAATTAATCGATCGATGCCCAATTCTGGACCGTACAGCTTTCATTCCGTTAAAAAATAATAAAATTTATGTAATTTCATTTTCTGTCTCACTTCCTCTTGTGTTAATTTTTAAATCTGTTGATAACGTTGCGAGTGATACGAAAATGGTAATGGGGTCCCGGGGACACCAGAGAAACGGGCCGAAAAAATACATTAGGCGAAAGGTCTACTCGTATACCTTGTCTGTGGCAGAACATTAAGACGCCTTTAATAAAATATACATATGCATACAAATATGCAAAAGCTTTGAATAGCTATCGAAATATTGATCTTTTAAACATTGTACTATGACACTTGTTTTAAAATATTTTCAAGAATTAGTACCAGTTAAAGAAACACAACAATTTTACTTTTCGTCCTTGCATTTATAAGAAAAATAGGCATTCAATTTGATCTTCCAAAGTTTTCTTCCAATTTTCTAATTCTTAGGCGTAGCAATATTCTTAGCATCATTAGGTTTAATTACTCCTCGCCTATACAGGCGTAACGAACCAGGGTTTTAATATCGTACCGTTGATAAAAGAAGTGTAATACCGACGAGGAACTTCCCTTCGAGTCGGTCGTTAAGTAATTTTTAACCAATTAAGGATGACTTTCGCTGCACAAGCACACAACTTGGGTTTCATGCGTTGTATAATAAATATTACTATCGTAGAACGTGATCTGTGTAGTTCGAAAAATTTCATATTCCACGAACAAAATCTCCTAACCATTAAACAAAATAAACTGTTACAAACATTTCAAAGCGGAGTAGTAATGTAACCGTCCTAATCTAAAAAAAGATTGTATTACAGTTTAAATCTATAGAAGTTATCTAACGTTTGGAGAGGTCTGCTTTCAGATAAAAATGTTCTGGAAAGGCGGGTCGCAATGAATGAGACCAGCAATCGAGAGAATTTTTCCCTGGACATTCTGAAGGACTTCGATGCACGAAACTCGACAATTCTGGAGGCTGGGTTCAATTGCGAGCATTTCTCCGGATCGTACGGTGTCTTCTCTTCGAACTGGTTCCAAGGCATCATTTACTTTTTCTACAGCACCGTCTTCGTCATCGCTCTGATCGGAAATGGCCTGGTTTGTTACGTCGTGTACAGCAGCCCACGAATGAAAACCGTTACGAACTTCTTTATCGTCAATCTCGCATTCGGGGACATGTTAATGGCTCTATTCTGCGTGCCGCCCAGTTTTATCAGCATTTTGATACTCCAGTACTGGCCGTTTGGACAGGAACTCTGTCCCACTGTTAATTATTTACAGGTACGTTCAATCAATTCATATATTCGTCGATAAATGGAGTTTTGGAGCAGTGAGCCTTTTATGATCGACCACTCGTGATGGCCATCTTTGTTTACGTTGGATTTGGCTCGAATTAATTCCTGGGCTCTACGAAGAGAAATTGTTTCAAAAGTCTCGAATAAGCCTCCTAAATTTCGATTCTATGCGCTGTTTACAAGAGACACTGTGTCACTTTTTGATCAGGTTTTGTTTTTCTTTTACAAATAAAAATTGAACGAAAGTGTTGTGAGGTCCTGTGGAAGAGAAAAGGAGAGGAGCGTATACATACATATACAAACGGAAGATCGGTCGAGCGCTTGCGGGAGGTACGGTCCCTCTGGTGGCAAGTACGGGAGGTGATGGACCACACAGCGTTTAATTTTTTAACATCGTGCTTCGAAAATAACTCGATGCTTTGTACTTAATTAATTAAAATAAATTCCATTAAACTTGCAAAGATATATAATTAAAGGGGCACAGGTTTCCCCATTCGTTACATGATCGAAGCTTTTTTTTTTTTAATACGTGGAGAAATCCTTGTGGACACACTGTGGTCCCTAAATAGGGGTAGTGACCATCCTCCGGCGTTGTGGCGGGGGACCGGGAACTCTAGTGAGGCATCACAGAGTCCCCCGCTGTACCATGCCTGTCGTGGCTCATTTTGGGGGGAACGACGAGCGTGTCCTTCCCCCCCTTGATTTCTCCGCCACGGACGCCAGATTACCTAACGCCCACGGACCTGGGGCACCTTGCATCGAGCACCTGCAGCCCCCCTGGACGGCCCGTCACCCCTCCAGCCACCGATATGGTGGCCAGAGATGAGTGCTGACGGACCACTCCACGTCTTGGAGGCTACATGATTAAGGAGCCTTTCTACCTTGTGGGATTTTAAAAACCGAATTTTTTTTGCAGTGTCTTTTAGTATGTAGTCTCGAAAATATATCTACCAAATATTAAATTGAAATTCTGAAAACTAACGAAGTTATAGCCTGCTGTAATGTACCACGCGCAGGGATATAGTATAACTGGACGTAAAACTTTAAGTTGCCTTTCTACTTTGTGGAATTAAAAAAATCGAATATTTGTTGCATTGTCTTTTAGTATGTAGTCTCGAAAATATATCTACCAAATATTAAATTGAAATTCGGAAAACTAACAAAGTTATAGCCTGCTTAAATATAACAACTGGAAGTGAAACTTTAAAGCTGTTTTTCTCGAAACTACATTTTTCGGCACCGCGTATGTGATAACAGAAAAACTATTCAAGATATCAACAGGAAATTTATACAGTATCTTTAGAACTAGTCTCCCTATAGCGTGAACTAGGATAATTGCGATATCTGCAATACTTTTTCTTTTATTAACAAAAAGGCAGCCGAATATATGAAAATATTCAGTATTTTTTCGTAAAATAGCTGCCATTTTGCCATTTTTTGTTCTTTTAAAAAGATTCTAGTTCATGCTATAACCATACTCATCTATATTAAGAATATCGTTGGTTTTTGGATTTCGGATAACTTGTTCGCAAGATATCACATACGCAGTCGGGCGCTGTTCCTAAAAATTAGGAATAATCAATATATATTAGCGTAATCAATAGATATTATGCGTTGCAAAAATTCGTAAATATAGCTAAATATATAATAAATGTATCTACAAAACACGAAATTAATCGCTCTTTAATAGCAAAAAAAATCACAAAACATGTATTTTTCGAGCCTACAAGGTAGAATGGCCCCTTAAAGCTGGCTGATCGCTAATAGCGATCCTACGGGTGCGCGAATCTGCATTTCATCCACCAATGAATCATTTCACACTTCCCGTTACATGTTTGTGACAGGATTACAAATTAACGAGACCTACCCGATAAAATCGAGTTCAAACACGACCAAGTATATTTTACACAAAACTGTTCCGAACTGAAAAAGTTATTGAATTTTGATTTAGAAGAATTGTTCGAACTTCTTTCGATAAAATCTGAGTTTTTTCTCCGATTTCGAGTACTTCGATGTGTGATTCGACTGGGTCTACCGGAGAATTTCCACGTGAGTACTACCAAATTAGGGTGGAGTTCGATTCTAGAGCATCGATCCTCCCCAGAAAAAAAGCGACAACAAACGCATTCCTAGAAGGGATGTTTCCCATATAGTCATTACCGAATTTAATAGAGTTTGACAGACTAATAGTTCCATGTAAATGATAAACGTAGCCATAAATAGAATCATAGATGGTCAACCAATTTTAAGAACAATACATCGGAAACATAAAATGGATACTAATATTTTTATATTATACAATGAGTTTACAAAAGAAATTTACATTTTGGCATCGAAGAACGTAAATATCTGTATCAGAAGTGGTTTACTTCTTTTTTTTTAAATATTGTTCTTCAGAAGTTGCCAACTTCGAGAAAGAAAAACGATTGATTAAATGAAAACAGAGTGAAAGTTTCGACGCTCCGATACAACTTCTTTACATCTCCTCTGCCTCGAGGAAATTATCACTACCTCGAAATCCAAACTTCTACACGGTGTCCCCATTTACAATATACGCCGAATACGTACATGCACGATTTTCGAAGTTATAATTGGGTTAATCGCTACCTGGAATCCATATTCGCAGTTAGAAATTCGCGAAACAATTCCCGCGAGTTTCTAATCTAAATTTCCCATTTAAAGCGGCACATCGAAACGTACCGATCATATACGCTCCGTTTAATTGCAGGAACTAAGTAGACGCTATTGTTGCACGTGAATTTGGCGAGAACGATCGCTCAAAGTTGCTCGTTGCGTTCGAGAAGACCGTTTCGCTACGGAACAATATTTTACCTTGAATCGAGCAAACTTTACAACTATTGTTTACATCTTTCAGCTACTTTGTACTTTCTTTCACTCGGTCTTTCAAGAGAAACTACTATAACAAAATAAACGATTCCATTAAATTATTATTTCTGCATTTTCTGTTACTTCTAATTGCGTTTGGCCGCGTGGAAATAATTCTGGTCAGCTTTTTGCAAAGTTATGGATTATTGATCTGTAACTCGACATGAAATAAAACTATATATATATATATATCAAAAAAAAAAAACTAAAATTTTGTTCGGTACGCACACACTTATGTACGTGTGTATATAACAATACCCAGCGATCCATGATAGTGCTAATAAAAGCTAAATTCCCTACACCAGCTGCTACCATTAATCCCTAAACCACCGCCGATCGATCCTCATATTTCACATTTTTTTTTAGTTTCATCTCTCCACACGGAACATTTCTGGGAACCCGGAAATATCGAATTTACCTTTATCGGCGAATAAAACTATTTCCCAGAATTCTAAATCCCTTTTCCAGCGTGCTTCCCGCAAGTTCGATCTTTTACAACGTCCAATGTTTCTGAATTTTCGTAAAATTCTTCGAACGCTTTCAGAATGTTTTCTTTTCCATCTATCTTTCCCCATCAGCGCGATTACCTTTCGAGAACTTTTAAGATTCACCGCACGGTCCTCGAATCTCCATTATTTAATATTTTAAATTGGTTTGTTTCCATTGCTACCTTCATTCTCGTCGAGATTTTTTTTTGTTTTTCAAAGTTAAATTTGGACGCTGGAATCTGGAACAACCAACAGAGTTTTTATAGTAAAAATATTTTTACGAACAAACAGAGTTGGTTTTGAAAGCTATAACGTGTACAGAAGAATCTCTAACAAACAATGTGAAAATATCAAATAATCTGATTAAAAATTCCGAATACACCTACAGTTACCTACTACACACTTACATACGTGCAAGCTGTATTTTAGTTTTTAATCTACATTCATATATTTCCCTACGGAGCTCGAAATAGTAGCGAAACTACATTTTCGAAAAATCTCAATTCCGTTTTACAAACCAACAACGAAGCTCAAATCCGCTCGAAAAATATAAAAAATGTTCAAATTGTTTTTATGAAACAATAGCTTACTACAATACGATTATTTTCTATTTTCCATACTTCTTGATATTGATCAAATTAAAAGTTAACAAATAAAGAGGAAAATTGGGGGCAACATTTCTGGCCACACAGTATATTTTCGGTAAAGAATTTTTTTCTCGAAAATACATAGGATTTCGGAGATATGTATATTCATCAAAAATTATTATGATTGATCCCCGCAACCAAAAATAATTTTTTCAGAACGATTTGAAATTTTTTAATTTTGTCGAATTTGTCCACCTACACAAATTTCTTTCTCGAAAGTGCGTAGAATTTCGAGGGTATGTATATTCACCAAAAATGATTGTAATTGACCCCCGCAACCAAAAATAATTTTTTCAGAACGATTTCAAATTTTTTTTTTCGTCGAATTTAGGCACCTATCCCCCTAACGATTTTTTTTTATTTTTAGTAACTTTGTTTGATGCCCTACAGAAAAGTTTCCTAATACTTTTTTGTATGTACTCATGAGCTCTACTTCAGAAAAAAATTTCATTGAAATACATTCACTATTGTAGGAGTTATTGCTGTTTGAAAATTGGACCATTATTATGGGGTTCTTATAACTTTACGGGGTTGAAGAACAACTTTCCGAATATTTTTGGAATTTCTACATATACTTCATCAAAATACGCGTTGTTTGCCTTTTTAAACATTAAAATCGTCCAATCGGTTCAGGAGTTATGGTGTTTTAAAGATACGCATGAAATTTTGGAGTGAGATTTCTGGCCCGAAATTAGATTTTCGGTAACGAATTTTTTTCTCGAAAATACGTAGGATTTCGAGGGTATGTGTGATGATAAAAAATGATTGTAATCGACTCTTGCAATCGAAATTAATTTTTTAGAACGATTTGAAAAATTTTTTTTTGCCAATTTCAGCACATACCCAAAACAAAAAGTTGTTTAGTACTTTTTTGTATGTATCCATGAGCTCTGCTTCAGAAAAAAATTTCATTGAAATACATTCACTATTGTAGGAGTTATTGCTGTTTGAAAATTGGACCATTATTATGGGGTTCTTATAACTTTACGGGGTTAAAGAACAACTTTCCGAATATTTTTGGAATTTCTACATATTGTCCATCAAAATACGCGTTGTTTGCCTTTTTAAACATTAAAATCGTCCAATCGGTTCAGGAGTTATGGTGTTTTAAAGATACGCATGAAATTTTCGAGTGACATTTCTGGCCCGAAATTAGATTTTCGGTAACGAATTTTTTTCTCGAAAGTGCGTAGAATTTCGAGGGTATGTCTATTCACCAAAGATGATCGTAATTAACCTCCGCAACCGAAAATAATTTTTCCAGAATGATTTGAAATTTTTTAATAACTTTTTGACGAAACCTCAATTAAGAAATTTATATTCATGATTTTCGTGTTATTTACGCCTTTGGAATCTCCCATTAAAATTTTTCCCAGGTGTGGCCGACCACCCTGTATATGTATACGCTCCTCGACCAACCATCTAACATTCCAGAGTCTGAGACAGGGCTTGCTAGAAAGCCTTACTAACGAGAAAGTTAATTTTTCTCAGTTGTGTCACTTCTGCACGAACCTGACCCAGAGAAAACCAGTGAATCAAATCATTCATAATGGTTTCGTCGAATTGTAAATAACACGGTTCTCCGAGGTCCCCATGCAAGTTAACGCGAATAATACGATATCTCTCGTAACACTGGCTAAGAGCACCAAGAGATAGATCTCTAGTATAAGTCGAAAAGGGGGGTGATTCGTAGGTTGGCATTTTATCGAATTACCGTAAACTAATTAGCAGCTGCACGAAACACGTAAATCCAATTTCAGTTACGATGAAAGTCGTTAACAAACGTGATTACGTCGGAGACACGGGGATGCCTTGTATCCTGACAGGCAATTTATTTAGCTTCACTGAAAGGTCTACGCTAATAACTGCGGAAAAATAAAATGGCGGATCGGTGACGCGCGCCATTTGTCAATCGCTGGCGCGACGACAGGAAATCGTTCGGTCGTTAGAATGTTTAATAAATGGCAAAATCCGCGAGGAAAAATATCGTTTCCGTCCACAAATTGTCGAAAATTACGAAAAAATTCCATATCGATGCGTTTTCAAGCACCCAGACCTCGCGATATTATTTTTTGAACGTTCAAGACACGTTCTCGCGTAAAAAGTAACGAAACCGCAGAAACTTTCTCGACGACCTAATACTTACTAATGACACGAGATCCTCTGCGCGGAACGGGACTCTGGAAAAATAAAGAAAGAATAGTAAGCGTGGATTGCACGTCAGATTTTACGAACAAGAAATTTTAAAACCTGTTTTATATCTGTTGATTAAAATTGGTCTGAAAACAATATTTATTTTCAGGCTGTATCGGTCCTGGTAAGTGCGTACACCCTCGTGGCAATTAGTATAGATCGTTACATAGCCATTATGTGGCCCCTTAGGCCGAAGTTGAGCAAACGGCAGGCACAGTTTCTGATTCTAGCTGTTTGGGTACTCGCAATGACAATATCGGTCCCGATCGCTGTGGTTTCACAGCTCTCTCAGCCTTCGCCAAAGTACGAAGTCTGTAAAAAGTACATGTGCCAGGAGGTTTGGCCGTCGTTGGAGAATAAGTAAGTACACCTCCACCTAGAACGTTTTTTTTTTTAACCGAGTCCAATCGACCGCAATATTCCTAAAAAATTCTTGCTACGATTATTCACTGCACAATTGCACTTACAATTATTTTCTTGTAGGTTTAGATAGAGTTTGCACCGCCCAGAGTGCTCCTTAACAGAGATTCTTAATCGTTTGACTCGATATTAGAACGTTTATATTATTTTACACGTCGAGACTACAAGGGTGTTCAGCCAATCCTGGGAAAAATTTTAATGGGAGATTCTAGAGGCCAAAATAAGAGGATAATCAAGAATAAGAATTTGTTCATTGAGGCTTCGTTAAAAAGTTATTAACGCGATAGTAGTTTTCACCACAGGTGAGGTATACGAGTAGATCTTACATTCAATGTATCTGGGGTTCTAGAGCTCCATTAATACGCATTGTTTAAATTTTGTATCATTAAAATTCTCCAATCCGTTCAGAAGCTATGATGTTTTAAACATACGTATGAAATTTCAGTGAAACATATCAATGACATGGTCAGACATGAAATTTTTGGTAATGAATTTTTTTTTCGAAACTGCGTAGGATTTCGGGGGTATGTCTATTCACCAAAAATGATTGTAATTGAACCCCGCAACCGAAAATAATTTTTCCAAAACAATTTGAAATTTTTTTTTTTCGTCGAAAAATTTCACACCTTCTCGAATTTTTTTCTAGAAAGTGGGTAGTATTTCGGGGGTATGTCTATTCACCAAAAATGATTATGATTGACCCCCGCAAACGAAAATAATTTTTCCAGAACGATTTGAAATTTTTTTTTTCGACAAAAAATTTAGGCACAGTCGATTTTTCTTAATAATTCATTTTTGATTTTTAATAATCTTGTTTATCGCCCGACAAAAAAGTTGTTTAGTGCTTTTTTGTAGGTACCCATGAGCTCTACTTCCGAAAAAAGTTTCATTGAAATATATTCACTATTATAGGAGTTATGGCTGTTTGAAAATTGGACCAGTTATATGGGGTTTTTCTCACTTTACGGGATCAAGGAGCAACTTTTCCAACATTTTCATAATCTCTACATATTCTCCACTAAAATACGCGTTGTTTGCTTTTTGAAACATTAAAATCGTCCATTCCGTTCAGAAGTTATGATGTTTTAAAGATTCGCATGAAATTTCAGTGAATCATGTCAATGGTACGGTCAGACATGATATTTTTGGTAATGAATTTTTTTCTCGAAAATGCGTAGGATATTGGGGGTAATTATAATGACCAAAAATGATTGTAATTGACCCTCGCAACCGAAAATAATTTTTCTAGAACGATGTGAAAAATTTTTTTTCGCCGAAAAATTTCACACTTTCTCGAATGTTTTTCTCGAAAGTGGATAGGATTTTGAAGGTATGTGTATTCACCAAAAATGACTGTAATTGACCCCCACAACCGAAAATAATTTTTCCAGAATGATTTGAAATTTTTGAATTTAATTGTTAATAACTTTTTAACGAAGCTTCCACCAACAAATTGGTATTCTTCATTTTCGTCTTATTTTGGTCCCTAGAATCTACTATTAAAATTTTACCCAGAGGTGGCTGAACACCCTGCAGAAAAAAGAATAAAAATACTAGTTATATCGGTTACAAATCCAAACAGATTGATCGTTGACGAGAAACTAAATCAGAACAGAGAATCAGCTGCCCAAATTACATCCTGTATCGAGTTCGAAACGGACGACCAAATTAATTCGACTCGGCACAAACGCGGTTGTTTGGGTCTCTCTTAAAATACGTTTACGTCGAAATCGTTGGTAACGTTTCAGCGAATTGAATCCACGTTGATAGATTGCTTTAGTACGAGATTATAAGTTGTCCACGTCTGTGTTACAGATATTACTACTCCATCGCGTTATTGGTTCTCCAGTACGTGATACCAATAATGATTCTCGTGTTCACGTATACCAGCATCGCTGTCATGGTGTGGTGTAAGAGGCCACCCGGTGAAGCCGAAAACGTCAGAGACCAGAGAATGGCGCGATCAAAGCGGAAGGTAAGGCATTAAAAACCACTCTGTTAAAGAACTCCTTTCGAAAATATCAGCAGAGGCATTACCGTTCGATCGATTTTTCTAAATCCCTCCGACGCTATTTCATTTTATAACGAAGAATAAAAGTTTCCGCTTGTCTTACCAGATCGCGTAACTTACACCAGTCCATTTTCCACTTTTTATCGTTTCCTTGCAGCTACAAATACTTCGAAACAATTTACAATTGCGCGCGTGGACGAAATATATCGGTTAAAAACGATCAGATGCGGAAGAATATTGTACAGAATTTTTACGCGAGTTCAGAAAACAATTATTCTCGATTATCAAGTTGCAGAATTTAAAATCGAGCCACGATTAATTAAAAAAAAAATGACAGTCCAGACAGCAATGCCTCCTTAAGTCACTTCTGTATATTAGAATTACGTTCTCCAAAGTTATAATGAACAAAGAAAACCGTCTTTCAAACAAAATCCTACGTAATGAATATACGATTGAAGCTATGCCCCTCACGGTCGTCTGTGAAAAGCTCTTTGAAGCTCAATGAATGCGATTGCGATACACCAGGATCGTTCAATAACTAATACGAACATCAATGGCCTCGAGCCTGGTCTTCGACAGACAAATTTGACTTATGAATTCCCTTGGAGAAAACATCGCAGCTTCGTCTTTCGATCGTGTACTTTACATTTCGGTTTTATACTTCATTCTCGCCCAATATGCGACATTAACGTTTAACTCTATTCCTAACGCGACTGGTCAAATGACCGGTTTTCAGCTCAACTTATATTTTTTAATAGAGAATGAAGATAATAGCCAATTTTATAGTATAAAAATATAGTTTCTTTTATTCAGATAAAATAAGAGTAGAATAATGATAGAATAAAAGCAACTCCAGGCAACTTCCACTTTTTGATGCTCTCACAAGACTTCACTGATTTGAATTCGTGAGAAGTCTGGGTAGCCCCTTTGGTTATGATTTTATTTATTTTACAGTTATAATATATAAGATAAAGCTAGTGAGAATTATAAACACTTGGAAGTGCCTAAAGCAGTCTCTGTAAGGCACTTTTCAGCTGAAATCATGCCACAACTGCATCGTCTTGCGTTTCTACCGACTTTATAGTTTCAGAATTGAGTCTTCCAGATAATACTGTTACAAAAAGATATAAATCGTTCAACCGGTAAATTGACGTGGTAGGTAAGACAGACTACAAATTTTTCTCAGAAAATAAACAATAAAAAAAGAAGTGGATATTGAAAAAAGTATTATACATATATTTTAGGAAAACTCGTGAATTTTAAAGACGATGCAATTACGTTGTTATAGGAAATTCTAAACGAAATTTTAAAAACGGTCATTTGACCGGTCGTGGTAGGTAAGACAGACTACAAATTTGTAAGAAAATAAACAATAAAAAAAGAAGTGAATATTGAAAAAAGTATTATACATACATTTTAGGAAAAGTCATGAAGCTTAACCCTTTGCACTACTATGTCGAGTGTGACTCGACATTTTTTCAAGCCCAGATATTTAATTGAATTTGTTTGTTCCTATATTTGTTTAAATTGTCCTATTTTTTAGTTAACGTAGACTTCAAATAACACTTAAAAGCGTTGGTTGGTCTGGTAACAAAATTGAAATATAATTCGGAGTGCAAAGGGTTAAAGACGATGCAATTACGTTGTATATAGGAAATTCTAAACGAAATTTAAAAAACGGTCGTGGTAGGAAGTGTTAATGAAGTATTCGGTATTTAAAAAATTGTTACAAAACTCTGAAACAAATGAAAACTACCGATCCCGTTGGCTAATCGTCTTGAAAATAGCAGCCAAGTCACGCACGGTAATCCATCATGGCTACTTTACTGTTTCTAGCGGCGTTGTTGATTGCAACAGTATGCAATGCGCATATTCGCCGCGTAAATGTGTTAGCCGACCGCACAGGAAAATAAGCTAGCTCCAAACGAACCGCAGAATATTAACGGTAACAATATATATGATCAGCCTGGTCGAAATTTGCGTTTTGGTTCCGACGTACGTTCCCGAATTTAGCCGGTTTTTTCTCACACTTTGCCGTGAACTTTTCCAATTTATTCCCGTATGCATAAATATTGTTACGACGAGAAAACAATTACAATTTATTCTGTGTTGCAGCGTAACAGTAAATTCATAAAGCCGGCGGATGTAGAGACAGACCTTTCGAACAATCAAGTTCTGCCTATAATCAAGTGCCATTACGATGGCTATTTAATTATTAAACTCATTCATATCTGCATGAACCTCCAAATCCCGGCGTTCTATGACTTTACTACCTGCAATAACATCGAAAGCCAGTCCCAGATGTTTTATGGCGAGTCAGGTATCGAATTTAACGTTTAATAAAAAAAAAACGTTTTCGCAAGAACGTTCGATACTACAGAAATTAATTTAATTATGTCAATCAATGTAATCGCGGGCATCGTAAATAACGCAAGTTATTAAAAATTGTTGGAGGCGTGGAAGTAGTATTTTAAATTAATCGAAAGCGCAACGACAGCAGAACGGCAATATTGATTGCTTTTAAAACGCCGTATTCACAAAATCGCGACTCTCGTAAGAGGCCTGCAGTGAACTATTATAATATGCTCGAACGAGATAAAAGCATTCGATAAATCTTACGTAAGACGGTAATTAATTATCCAACTAGCTACCTTTTCTCGCTTGTTTTTTCCTCCCCCCTAGTAATTAAGACGAATTCGGAATCATAAATTATATGAGAAGAGAGAACAAAAATTAAATTTCCAAAGATTTATCGCTGTCAGAGTTTTCCTTAGTTTCTTGGCTGTGCTCTTTAAACAAGTTGAATGGTATCGATGATATATAATTTTTCATAATAAAGCATTATTGTTATACAACCTAATAAAATGCACCGCGCGAGGAACGGCGTTATCCTAGATTAACCTACTGGTACAACAACTTTACTTTCGAAACCATACATTATTTTTGGGTTATTCGTACTGTGGCGCTGCTTTGCTGGCGGAGGTAACGAAAAAGATAGTAAGAAATCACAGAAAAGGAAAGGGGGAGCGCTTTTTCACCTGCTAGTGAACTTATTAATTAATAAGGCTGTTGGATGACCAACACGACCAGACAAACACACGTCACCTCGCAAACATTACTCATCCAAAACATCCTAGTCCAGATTTCTAATCCTTACTCATCCTGAACCTCGTACCCTTACTGAGTCACACTATCCCTTGACCATTCGTCCCTACCTCTACCCATCTCTACCAATAACATATAAACGCCTGCAATACCGAAAAACGGACAGAAAGAGTCTCTAGTCTTGAGTTAATATTCAACGTGATAGTTGTACGAGTTTTCTTTTATTAAATAAAGTGTTGGAATCCAACAAGGCGATCCTAAGAAGACCCTTAGACGATCTTAGACGATACGATATTAGGTATTTTTTTTTTTAAAAAAATGTCTGTTAGCATCTGTAATATGTTTATTATGAGTAGACTGCGGATGTTTATGCATTTATGGGAAAATTTTAATTCTCAAAAAAGTACAGAATGCACTTAACACGCAAGAATATAAGAAATACTTAAAGTAAGGTACAAATTATTATATCTAGGGGTTGAGACAACCCTCTACAAAGCTCCAATTTCAATAATTTTATTAACAAAAATATGAATTTGCATGAAGATCCGCAGTCTAATTATGAGGATGTGTTATTGTGGTTTTCCTTGGGTTAGTGCTCGAGGGAAAAGTTTCAAAAACCTCGTTTAGATATTAGGTAGCTTTTTTTTTTGTTATTTTTCCTGATTGGTTGCAGTACCTGGGGCTGGGGCCCTATAACCTGCATTTAGAATGAGTGTTAGTGTCTGGGTATATTTATGTTAGTGTAGGGTTGCGGTGTTTCTTGATTTCGGGCTCGAGGGAAAACTTTCAAAAACCTCGTTTTCATGATATTAGGTAGTCGGTCGAGGAGCGTATATATGTATGTATAGGAACTGGAGGTCGGTCGAGCGTTTGTGAGAACGCGACCCCTCTGGTGGCAAGTATGAAAAGTGACGCCACAGTAGGTCCATGTATTATCTGACTGCAACGATAAAATTTCCTTAAAGAACCGTCCAGGGATTATTTTTATTAAGAGAGATTATACAACGGGAGAGTTAATAAGAAATTTTCTGCAATTATAGCAAAAAGTGAAACTCTATGAGAGTCCTTTGACGCGAAGATCGGTGTTTCCACGTTTGACAAAAACCAACTCGGTAATTGCCTGGCTCCACACCATTACGATCTCTCCCTACACTTTGGTAAATCGTCTTATCCGAAATAGCGGAGGATATCGCTTTCTAGGACTGCTCTAGACCTTTTCCCGTCCCGTCGGATGCCCTCAGGGAAAATCTAGATTACTCGGTGAATAGAGCATTGTCCCACCGTTCCCGAATCCAAGTCGCATGGTCTCGTGGAAATTGAAGACTGACGATACGACGGTGCCCTGTTAACCGTGGATCTGTGGTTGACCCTCTGCTTATTAAATTTTACTCTCTAATGGTCCACAGACTCGGAGAAGTTTGCCCTGCTCAATGAAATTGATGTTGAATTTGGGGAAACGTTTGTGTGTCTTCGAGATTTGCAAATATACGAGACCGTACGACCTGGTAAAAAAAAAAAAAAAAAACAGAGGTCGATCGAACTACTGAAATTGATAAAGCTAGCAAACGTAGAAAAGACGATACAGACCATACGACCATAACTCCTACAATAGAGTGTGGCGGTTAACAAGTCTCGGGTTCTAATGAATAAAGACACCTTTATCTGCACGTTTCTTTTTATTTGTCCTTATACATATAGTCAATTTTTAATATCCACTTAAAAATTAACTTTTTTCTATTATTAAATAACTTTTTTTCATATCATAAAGCTATTTCATAAGAATTTCATTGTATATCATTTCAAGATATTGCTATAATGTATAACGCTCAGTTTCTTCTCTAACTCTTCACGCACAGTTATACCAACTCTTCACAGTCGTGCCACAAGAGAGTGTATTTCATTTAAATCTATTTATGAAGTAAAGCTCACGAATATCAATGAGTATCATGAAAAAACGTACTTATTTTGCTAGCTGTCTTTAAGACATGACAATATGTATGGTACTTGGCTTGTTTCAGATGGTGAAGATGATGATGACTGTCGTAATAGTATTCACCGTCTGCTGGCTCCCGTATAATATACTAATGGTGAGTGACACGCATCCAATAAGCCGTGAATTATTAGGTTTCCTAGGAAAACCTTTATCTCTTGTGTTATGTTTTTATATCTATGTACGTATTTTAAGTCGCGCGGCAGGATCGTACGTGTAACCATCTTTTATCTAGCGTAGTTGGTACACCAATCGAGAAAAATCGAATATAATCGTACATGTTCGTTAAGGAAGAATATGATAGTCGTTACACGTGTATTCCTGCGGCGAATAGATCTTTACCTTAATAAATTCTGGAACATGAGAACATATAAGTGCTAGTTATTAACCTGTCTACACTGTCCCGTAGTTCCGTGAATAATTATATCTATATAGGGTGTTCGGCCACCCCTACGAAAAATTTTAATGGGAGATTCTAGAGGTCAAAATACGACGAAAATCAAGAATAGCAATTTGTTGATGGAGGCTTTGTTAAAAAGTTATTAACGTTTAAAGTTCCGCTCGTACTCAATTTTGTTCTCGAAAATGCGCAGGATTTCGGGGGTACGTCTATTCACCAAACATGGTTGTATTTGACCCCAGAACCTAGAAATAATTTTTTTAGACCGATTCGAATTTTTTTTTTCGCCGAGGCACCCTGTTGATTTTTCTTAAAAATTCGCTTTTCATTTTTAATAAATTTGTTTGTATACTTTTTTGTATGTATCCATGAGCTCTGCTTTAGAAAAAAATTTCATTGAAATATATTCACTATTCTAGAAGTTACGGTCGTTTGAAAATTGGACCATTTTTACGGGGTTTTTCTCAGTTTACCGGGTCAAGGAACGACTCTTCGAATATTCTTGGAATATTTACACATTCTACACTAAAATACGCGTTATTTGCCGTTCGAAACATTAAAATCGTCCAATCAGTTCAGAAGTTATGACATTTGAAATATTTGCAAGAAATTTTCGAGTGACATTCTTTTTTTCTCGAAAATGGTTGGGATTTCGAGCGTATGTCGATTGAGCCAAAATGATTGTAATCGACCCCTGCAGTCAAAAATAATTTTTTCAGAAGGATTTGAAATTTTTTTTCGCTGAAAAATTACATCACCCTGGCGATTTTTCTTAGACACTTGTTTTCAATTTTTAATAAAATTGTTTGTCGGGTTGCGAAAAAGTTGTTTAGTACTTTTTTGTAGGTACCCATGAGCTCTGCTTCAGCAAAAAGTTTCATTGAAGTATATTCACTATTGTAGGAGTTATGGTCGTTTGAAAATTGGACCATTTTTACAGAGTTTTTCTCAGTTTACGGGATCAAGGAACAACTCTTCGAATATTCTTGGAATATTTACACATTCCACGCTAAAATACGCCTTGTTTGCCGTTCGAAACATTAAAATCGTCCAATCCGTTCAGAAGTTATGACATTTTAAAGATTCGCAAGAAATTATCGAGTGACATTTCTGCCCCGAAATTAGATTTTCGGTAAAAAATTTTTTTCTCGAAAATGCGCAGGATTTATGGAGAATGTGTATTCACCAAAAATGATCGTAATCGATCCTTGCAACCGAAAATAATTTTTTTAGAACGATTTGACAAATTTCTTCTTCGCCAAAAAATTTCGACACCTACCCGAATTTTTTTCTCGAAAATGTGTAGGATTTATGTGGTATGTGTATTCACCAAAAATGATCGTAATCGACCCTTGCAACCGAAAATAATTTTTTTAGAACGATATGAAAAATTTTTTCTTCGCCGAAAAATTTCAGCACCTAACCGAATTTTTTTCTCGAAAGCAGGTACGATTCCGGGGGTATGTGTATTCACCAAAAGTGATTGTAATTGATCTCCGCAACCAAAAATAATTTTTCTAGAACGATTTGAAATTTTTGAATTTAATTGTTAATAACTTTTTAACGAAGCCTCCATCAATAATTTGCTATTCTTGATTTTCGTCTTATCTTGGCCTCTAGAATCTCCCATTGAAATTTTTCCCAGGGGTGGTCGAACACCCTGTATATTGCCAAGACAAAATCTTGTTAGAGCAAACCAAAAGTGCAATATTAGTTATCGTGAAAACGGTTCTATTGGCTTTTCGGTCATCGTAAATGGACTGCTGGTTTCGGTTCGTAGAGGGATTACGTACACAGGGTATACTGTAACTGGTAATAATCTCTTAATACCCCCGTTAATCCTTAAAATACTATTGACGTATTTACACACACAACGAGTAACATACTGCACACGCTGCGGACGCGATAACATAGTCGCTGAGTTGGAAATTACGAACGGTGGGATTCATGTTTACACGTCCGGCCTCCCATTTCTTGGTAAGGTGCTCGCTAAACGCTATTTACACAAAATGGTACGCGTGCACAATATCTCCCGTCGAATCGAGCACAGTCGTATTCGGAACAAATGCGGGGTACAATAATTGTTTACACAACCGACGACCTCCGTCGATTCCAAAGGTTTGAAAATATAAACAGCGTTTTCCCGTACGACGGGGAAAGCGAGGTGATTCCTCGTGCAAAAAGAAACCGAGAATATGAAACACAATATCGTGGTGCCACCTTCGGTAATCGAGGAAATAAATTTTGAAAATCTGCGAATCAAATTTACACTTTATAGGAATGTTTATTTTAGCCAAAGGTTCGTCAGTGTCCCACAAAATGTGAACAAATGCAATTCGTTACGACGAATAAACAACTACGCATAGCAATCAAGGGCTTATTTAATGAACTTCCAGCGCCAGAGAATCGAAACCAGACGCAGGGCGCGGATCGGATATTTTCCAATTTGAAAATCTGTCTGTCCATCCCATTCGGACGATAGAGTTTTTTGTCGAATACGAGCCTAACAAAGCCCCCAACAAACCCTCGAAGAACTTTTCAAACTATCAGACAGAAATGAACCAGTTTCGAACACGGAATTCAAATACCAAAATTTAGTAGATCAGTAAATTCGTTTGGGAGATAACTGCGTGAGACATCGTATATTCCGTGGAATCATCGACTTCTCGGTTTACAGCCACCCGGTGGAGTAATATTCTGTGTTCCCGTGCGCAGAATATTGCGTTCGAAGATTAGTCCCAGTACTGTTAGACATGTTTCAAGAAATTGAAAGAATTTGTCATCTCGCGCAGTGTATACATACAAGCAGTCGTCGACTTACGACCTGAACGATATACGACTATTTTATTTTACGGCTCGTGGCATTTGCCGATTTACGACCTATCTAACTTTATAACCGAAATAGATATTTACGATATTATTAACTGTGTACGGTGACCCAGCGGTGTTGCAAACGTGATAGGTTATTATTTCTACAGGGTGGTCCACGCAATTGTTACAAGTCATAACTCCGTTATTATTGCATTTCCGAAAAAATGCCAAAGGAAAAAGATAAATGGTTCGAAGAGCACTACACCTGTAGGCCTTTAAATTTTTTTTAGATGCAGCAGTGCATGTGCAATTAACAATTGCATCATTTCTTTAAATTGAAATGCATATTTTTTTTTACACAGATCGATTCTTCTGTTCGTTCTACGTAAAAAATGATTAGGGTACCATGGCAAAAAAATTATTAGATCTCGAGATATTTTTAAAAAAATGCCTTTATCGAAGAAGATGCTCAAACACTTCTCCATTACATTCTAAACATATCTGATAACGTTGTTTTATTGTTTGCATAACTGCGTTTAAATTATCTGCAGTTATTGATGAAGTTTCTCTGATCTTAAAATTCGTTTCACACTACCGAGGCTTACATTGCATTCTCTCGATATTTCTCGTGCAGATGCTTGTGGTTTCCACTGTAAATAAGCGAGTATGTTCACTCTGTTGTTTTCATTTCCTACTACCGGTTTTGGAACTTCTCTTTTGGGTTTGGTAAATGCACCATAGTGTTGCAAACTGTTATTCAATTTGAAAAACAATTGTCGCGATGGTTGTCGACGGTTTGGATATTTTTCCTGGTACAGTCTTGCGGCGGCATTCGTATTTTTGTCACACAACGCAAAAGTGTCGTACATAGCTTGTCTCTCACTATTAGTAAAATACATTTTCTTGTATTATGTGAAATACAGTTACATTTTTTCAAATTCTTAGTTTTCGTACTCGAGTTACGATACGTGAATTGCAACTGAATGATGAAATGCTTACTTGTACAAATCAGTTTCTGTTATGATAACAATATCGAAAGGGTGTTTACCTTTATAACATAGTCATGAAGTGTTTGAGCATCTTCTTCGATAAAGACATTTTTTTAATATCTCGAGATCTAATAATTTTTTTACCATGGTACCCTAATCATTTTATACGTAGAACGAACAGAAGAATCGATCTGTGTGAAAAAAAATATGCATTTCAATTTAAAGAAATGATGCAATTGTTAATTGCACATGCACTGCTGCATCTAAAAAAAATTTAAGGGCCTACAGATGTAGTGCTCTTCGAACCATTTATCTTTTTCCTTTGGCATTTTTTCGGAAATGCATTAATAACGGAGTTATGACTTGTAACAATTGCGTGGACCAACCTGTATATGTAATTTCTCAAATTTTCAGACGTCCTCGTAAATACTAAAGTTATTCCAAAATAACCGAAGTGTGAGTCGAATTTGGTAAAAATATAATTCTTGCTGTGCGTAATTTAATTTTTCTCTAAAATAAATAATAATAGAGAAACGATTGGTAAATTACAGTCGATCGAGCGAACGTAAACGATTTCTGTTTTAGTTAATAATCGACAACAACGAAGCGTCGAGCAGTTGGACGGGTCTTCCCTTCGTGTGGATGTCTCTGCATTGGCTGGCTATGTCGCATTCCTGTTACAATCCAGTAATTTATTGTTGGATGAATGCAAGATTTCGCAGCGGCTTCATAACTGCGATTGGCTGTTTACCAGGAGTGCATCGAATTCTACGCAACGAAAGGCGACGTAACACTAACAACAACGCTAGCACGATCGGAATCCCCCTAACTGGTAATTAAATTTTCATGTTTCTAAATACCATTGGGAAAACTCGTCTGTACTAATCTTTCGAGGCTGCCTCAATTTTACCGAAACAAATCCCAATTATTACAATGATCAAAGAGCATATTTAAACTGTAATATAACCTTGGACGATAAATTCAATAAACCTTTGTAAAGAATGTTTCGATCATTGAGTATTGTTCTTATTTAAAGATTCTATATTCTAAATCACATGATATTATAAACAAAGAACTCCCGAGTTGAAATTCTCTCCCTTTTATTGCCCTTCGCAGTGGTGGAGTATGAAATGGTAGTGGGGGAGAATGCTGAAAGATAAAGGGACACGTAAAAAAAGGAAAAAGTGCGGTATTTTATTTGCTAAGCTTTTGTTGTACATGTATGTAATAAATTTAAATACACGTTATATTGTCTAACCCCACGCATCACTTGATTTGATCCACCGAGGTAGCAAACCTATATTCCATAAACGAAGCCCAAACTCATCATTTGATTCTATACATATCACCGTAAAGATATCACCGTATTGGCCTTTTCCACCTCATCGTTTATTAAATATTAATTCTGGTCCACCGTCGCTATTCTCGACCTCCCTGACCCGCAGACAAAGCGGAATTCGATATAGCCTACGTTTGCCGCAAGTAACTTCCGATTTAGAATGAAACTTATATCGGGTGTACAAAAGAGTTTTAAGCTTCTGATATTACACAGTCTACAACCCCATTTGAAATTGGAACATTTTTGGAGGCATTTAGAAAAGATCGCTGGTTCGGAAGCTTTGTAATCTAAAACATTGGTTTGAGAAAGGGGATGGGAAAAAGGGTTGAGAATCAGTGACCTATAGAGGAGAAAGTTTTACTCTTGACACGGATGGGACACGAAAGGTATTACGAATTATCAAACCAGGTGAAACAGTCCGACGAATCGTTATTAATGCCAATTGATCAATTGGAGCGACGAATTGGGGCGAAAGAGACCGTTTACTGATCAATGAAACTGTCAAATCATACTGTTCCACGATAATGTTCAGCAACACGTTTCTCGAGCGATGAAGGATGTCACTTCCAGCTTGGTCTGGAAACTTCTTCCGCACGTGGCGTATTCTCTAAACTTGGACCCATCTGATTACCACCTGTTCCGTTCGCGTCAATATCAGTTCGATCGACCAAAGTTTATGTTATCGGAATAACGTATCCGACGACTCTATCGCATCGAAATCGCCCAGTATTCGGTTCGAAGGACGCGGGAAAATCACCGAACGAAGAATAATAAGTCACTCTGAATATATCCCTATTTTTCCATCTTGTAAATCTCGACGAATATCGATTTGCAACAATTTTTTAAAAAAAGTAAATTTAATATTTTGTAGGTCCTCCATTGGCGTCGATAACGATTTGCAATCTTCTGAACATCTAAAAAATTCGAAGTTTTGTAATACTTTTTTGTTATGTTGACTAGTTCGATTACTGTGTTTTGGTTATCGTAGAATAACGACTGGTTCGATATGAAGTGTCATGGCCGCCGAGGACCTGACCATCCGGGGTTTAAAGAATGCTTTCACGCGCTAGTATTGAAATTTCCATTTTGTTAATTCTCGTCGATACTCCCTTCGGGCGGAAATCCTGCTACGGGGGTTGCGGAAGTCACAGATTTTCGCGCGAAACATGTTGCCAGGGCAACTTTGGGGTTCCCTCGGCTTTGCATTTTCATCCATTTTCTTTTTATTTCATATTCTACGTAAATGAAAAGCTCTGTACATACAATATATATAATAATTTGTATAAGTATTTATTTTGCAAATATCTTGTCAATCCGGCCAATTTCTAGATTGAACAAACAATAAATAACCTCGGTAAACCTTACGTTTAGGGGAGGCAGCTCCGATGACCTTGACCTTGACATATGTTGTCAAGGTCACTCTCCTGAGCAACATCCAAGAGGTTTTAGCCGTCACTCGTTTTTTATTAAAAAGTTATCAGCATATAAAAATCATATAATAAATAAGTAAATGTAAAAGTAAAAGTAAAATGAAAATTTAATCAGTATTTAAATGATCTAATGGATATACAGAACTCATTATTTCAAAGAAACTCTCAACGCGTTTGTCAAAATTACAAATTCTTTTAAATAAAAATTCTGCCAGGTAATTCGTATAATGATATTCACGAGTGCCATAGTGAGGAATATTTGCTCTCATATCCCTCACATCCCACAATCTTTCTATATTTTGTGTGTAAAAATAGGTGTCGATATTAGTTAGTGTAATTTTTAGGGGAAGTCTGAGGGGCCTAGTCAGTAAAACGAATTTAATATGATACTGTTCAATTCGTGGAGGATGTTTTATTTTATGTAATTTTTATATACTAATAACGTTTTAATAAAAAACGAGAGGTAGCTATAACTTGTTGGGGGATGCTCAAGAGCGTGACTTTCATAAACTGTGTGAACGTCAAGGCACATTGAGTATACGTATACACAGATTCTAGTATAATACTTAATAATGCATTTGTATCGATAACTTTAAGAAAAAAAAATGAGCGACGACTAAAACCTTCTAAGGGGGATTTCATTCAGGGGGGTTACCTTGGCAACATATGTCAAGATCAAGGTCGTCGCAGCTGCCTCCCCTAAACGTAAGGTTTACCATAACCTCAAATCATAATCCATCGTAACATGCGAAATTATAGTTGCTAATGGAAGCGCCGTAAATGTTTTCCGAACGTAAAACAATTTTCGATGGCGCATTCCTGACGAAATACATGACATTTTTAACTGTATTTCAGGTCTCGATGGCTCGAGTTACTCTGTCTTGCGACGCATGAATACCTGTACAACCTACATTAGCGTTCGACGCAAGACGAACGGAAATCAAGGCGCGCCTGCAAGAAGCGTTAGTTTCCGGAATAACGCGTTCCGTCCCTCGCCTCAGTTGCAACAAATTACGTGTCTAGAGTCCCACTCGGAGGAACAATTATAAAAATACTGTACGATTAAGGTAAACGTGATTAAATGTCCGTTGAATGCGAGAACAAAGAACAGGATGTAAGATAACTTACGAAGTACGGATAGATAGTTCGGAGTGTTCTGATACAATGGCGGCTCGTAGGAAACTCTTGGGACAATGAAAAGCGAAAGAATTTAAGAATAGAAAAGATACGACTTTGATATTGCAAATTAACTTCTGAATTATTTCTCAAAATTGTCGTTCAACTTATTAAATAAACAGAGGGTCGAAGAATGAAATTATTCAATATGGTTCGGAGAAGTACGTTATTGTACGAGGTAGAAATATTGGATTGAAAAGACAGTTGCATGAAATGAATAGTATCTAGGAGTAGATAAAGAAACGCCCGAATAGGAATTGAAAAGTAAATGTGAAAAGGAAAGCTAGAATATTGGGAAATAGTCTGCTGGTCCAAATGCAAAAACGAATAAACAAATGGGATTTGAAGTACAATATTAGATATAAGGATACTAGAATGATAGGATTACCACCATACTTACGAGATCTGAGGGTGAGGGTGAAAAAAAAGAGAAGATATTATAATATAGCAAGAGATGTGAAGTAACCTGAGAAGTGTTTAGTACCTAATGGTAGATAATAGGAAAGAAAGTGCAGGATATGTGAGCCTGAGGTAAACGTATTGAAGCACTTAACAAAGTAATGCGAGGGGATGAAAGTTGAATGAAAGATTGATAGAAAATGAAGCAGGATGGGAATAGAAGCAAAAAATAATACAGAGAAACGAAGCAGAGAATCAGAGAACAACACAAAATAGTGGTGAAAATGAAAACAGAAAGCATACAGTGATTAACAATTGAAGAGTAATTTAAGATAGTATAAGATTAGAATAGAATGTCTGTGAAACGTAGAGTTAAGAATAAACAACGTGAATCGAAGCATACATTTTGCATACATATTTTTAAATTTTATTTAGAGCGTGTTTTTACCTAAGGCTTTCTACAGATAGAAATGAAATTGGATGAAACACGACATTCCTACTTAAATTGAAACGAAACGATCAGTGTTCACTTGTAATCCCCTTCGTAACGGGGGTTATGATTTGTTACCCTTTATATTAAAGTTATTTGTAAACACTATGGTAATTTTGAAGAAAGTAATTTTTCGTACAAAAGCAAGAAAAATTCATACTGAAAAATGTATTACATTGCGTATTTGTTATACAAATTAACTTGCTTAATGTATGGTATAGATATATTAAATACTTTTTATATTTTACGTTGCGCAATAGTTACGTCTACAGCCGCGTAAGACAGAAAAAAACTGTCGTGGAAAAAGTTGAACGGTATGGTAATGCATACCATTCAACTTCGCCCTTTACAATTGTTTTCTTCTTACCAAATTTGAAATATAACCCGTCCTGATTGCGTGACGCACCCTGTGTACATTACCTACAAATAACAAAACCATAAATGAAATCGAAACATGTAACACGAATAAACATTTCCGAACTGGTTAATATACTAATTATAATTTTTTTAAAGTTCAATAGAAGAAAATAAAAGAATTATAATTAACGTTATTTGTTATTACTCTTAGTTTTAAGTGACTATTATTAATATTTACTTTTTATTAACAATTGTGAATACACAATTATTTTTACAAAGCTCAGACATTAAAACGCACAATAAAATAATATATACAATTGTTTTATCTTAAGTACTATCCGTGGTTTTCCATATAATTTTTCATACTATTTTAATATAGTCTGCTAAAAATGTAGATCACAATAAAATATCATTTAGAAGTTTTAATTGCTACGACACTTTGGAATTATTTTATCACATGAAAATATTTGCAACATTTAGAATGCAAATGAAAGCATAACTTATATTAACCCTCTGCAGTTCTACGTTCATAGAGACTTGACAAATAAATCGAAGTTAAATTCGACACGTTTACATATCATGGAGAAATGATTCGTTCTTAATTAACTCTTACATACAGCATACGTAAAAAATCAATTCCGTGTTATGTAATCAATTTTTAAAACATACCGTTATATGCGTCTAATAAAATAAAAGTATGATGTATCGTCAAATGTAATTGGAAGCAAATTTTATATCTTTTTTTATACTATCTACAATGTTATCCAACCCAGAAACAAATGCGATTATAACAGTATGTTAAAAAATGTTTATTTTCTGAATATTAGGATTAAATAATTGTTCGGTAACGTCCTTTCTTTGTACGGATTGTGCGCCAACCATATCCAAATCATTGCGAATTTAACGGTCAATCTTTCTGACTTCAAACACGAACCAGTGATGGACATTCGTGGGAATTTTGGTCATGCGCACTGGAGCGCATGATCACTGCCGTATATACTTAACTAGAATTTAGGTTATCGTTGGATCCCAATAAGGAACAAAATTTAAGGAAGTTACAGGGAAAGAGACAAAAACAAAAAATTTCCTCTTAATCTGCATGAGTATAGCTAGATAAATACGTAGGGGATCTTCGATGAGTTAATTTTTGTGTGATTGGCGAGCATTTGAAGTAGAAAGTTTAATTTTGTACAAAACCTGGGAATTTCCAACATGCACCTCTTTTTGCACTAAAGATACATCTATGGTAGAAAGCTAACGCATGCGCAAAAAGGAATCCCACAAGAGAAAATTCTAATGCGCATGTCCAAAATTCCCACGAATCTCCATCACTGACTCGAACTTGCGTCTAGCTGACGACCGGTTTAATTATTTTATTGGACCTACCAGCTGTCGTTCGAGGACCACCAGAAAATCCCCCCAAACACATATGTCACTGAAACTTTCCTAATCCAAAACAAATACCCCAGGTAGCGTCGAGGCCACCCATTCACGAACCAATACATACCTCACTCTTCGCTCTTCAACTCATCCAAAAAGTCAATCGCTGTAGACTAAGTTCACACAACACATTCACTAAAGTCACCATTTTGTAACAAACACAAACAATTTTTTTCAAACGCAAGCATTCGCGAAAACACATTCTCACGTGTTCAACGCATGCTCACTCGTTTAGATTTACACCTGGACCAATTTTCTACAATCACGGCAAAAAATAAAATGCGTGTTTCATTCATTCGCGTAAAACGAAAATTTGTTCCGCCGGCATTAATTGTATTTACTATAGAAAATCCCATCTATATCAATGAAAAGTAAAACTGCATGTAACAATAAATACAACAATAAACTCTTCTTAGAAACTTTAAAATTCCACTTACAATTATTATCACAACATGTAAAATACGTAAGTAAATAAAATAATACTATAATTAGTATTGTCAAAAATGCATTATTTGCATAAAATAGATTTTAAAGTTTGCAAAATTTCAAACTTCCGATATGCTATCAAGCCATTGCTATTCGAAAAATTATTGGTTGTAGATACATATTTTATATCTACATAGTTTAAGTCAGGATTATTTATCAATGTTTGGAACTCAATGATACCCCCATCTAGAGAACGTAAAAGAGCATGGGGGCCGCAAGTATCCCACTTGTATGTGGAATTTTTAGATAAAATGTAAACATCAGCGTGTCCAAGAGCAACGCATAATATTTTATAACCAGCTCCTGTAGCTTCTATTAATGTAAAACCAGCAATTAATAGTTTAGATTTTATACCAACATCTTCCACTTTACTAATAACAGCTATCATTTTATCATTAGGTTCCTTGTCTATAGAACTTTTTCTAATATCATTCTCTACAAACCCCCAGTAACAGTTTCCTTTCCATCTGTTAAATGAATCAGGAAATGTATTTAAACATTGATATTTTTAAAGACAATTTAAATACTTCTATTCTACTTACATTGACTTCACGTTTTCGTAAAAAGGTTGATTGATTACCCCTAAAACCGGCATGCCTGTGCTCTTCAAATACGCTCCAATTAAGACCGTAACACACCTTAAACCACTCAAGTGTATGCCAGTTGCACCATTCACCTTTTCACCTCCATTTATATAATCTGCTGTTGAATCTACAAAAGTTCCAGGAATTGCTCCTCAGGCATGCTTTATTAAACTACAAAACAAATAAAGGATTTGACAAGTAATCTAGCTAATTCTATGACTCAAAGGATCTCCCTACTGTGAAGGTTTTAAAAATTGATTTTTTTTTGTATTTTTTTATCAATTATAGTGTACTGTATAATTCCAAAAAATTTCACCCTCAAATAGTTCCATAGAAACACAAAGAATATTACTTAAACATTTCATGTTATGAATCCCGATGTTACAAGTGTTGTAAAAATTTAGATCAAGCCATGTTATTGCATGCAGTTTACAAAAAGTATACAGTTCACACAGTGTTAATAGTTTTATTCAATAGTAAAATACAAACAATTATAAAATCCAATATTTATTTAATAGTTGATTCATACAAAATTCCCAAAAATCATCTATTTTTTGTACATCTACAGTAAGGAGACCCTTTAAAATAACACTATTAAAATAATATTTTGCCAGAAAAAGAATTTTGAACATAATACAAATCTAAAAAAAACCCAAGAGCAAAAATAAATATTGGTGTAGATTGGATAATGAAACAAAAAATTTTGAAAAATACCATAGGAACATACTAAAAGGAACAAACCAGTTAATTAAAAATTCTACTTGTAATCGTGTCTAGAACATTGATACCATTCTGTTAGCAATACGAAAGTGGCACATTTACATACAAGGATACATGGATACATGACAATGCTATAATGGGACAGGCACATAATCATAATAAAATTACTAATATGTTCCTTACCAATTGGATCTATCCATATTCCAAGATCAGAAATATCAATATCAAAATCCAAAGGTAATTCCGCAACCACAGGAACATCCAAGAATTGAACATCTTTATGAACTTCAGAAGCTAATAACTCTGCAGTGTCGATATCACTGCCCATCACTTTGGCTAATAATCGAGTTGTTTCTTCGATAGTGCTGCAAACTTCAACCACTATGGATTCACCCATGGCATTGCTGAATGTGTTATTTTCTTCCCCTTGTACTACCTTTGCCAATTCTGGAAACTAATCCTCTACAGATGATATTTTACATATCTTTACTCGACCTCGTCTGACCGCGATATATTTTATTTTTCTTCCTTTTAAAAAATACATGCTACGCATTTTACCAAAATAACTATCTTTTCCCATTAATACCTATTGGTAACTAAATATTTTTCGTAGCAAACTTTTACCGTCCAAATAAACCAAAGGATAAAATAGAAGTACAAATAATCTGATACTAGGTTTTGTTGGCTCACCTCTATTTCTATATCGTGTCTAATTGTTTCTTGTATAAGAACATCTGCCAATGTCTTGAAATCTCGGAAGAAGCGTGGATTTTTCTCTTCCTCCGATTTTTCTTGCACGAGCAACTTAAAAAGGGCATCATTCTGCCTACAGGCTCTTGCAATGTTTGCTGCTTTCTCCGAAACTTTCAGAAGAATTGATAACAATCTGCTGCCGTTGTTCATTTTAGTAATCACGTTATTTCAAATTTTAAGAACTATAATGTTGGCAAGTCATTAAAATACTATCCACATAAAACCGCAATAAAACACGTTTCAAAGAATATATTTTACAGTGGTAAAAATAATGCTACACTGAATTTACAAAAATACTGCTTTGGCGGGAATCCTTATAAAATCTGTTACGCAACTTATACAACAGCTCGATTGCTTGAAAGCGAAACGTAACACTCGATGCGATGATGCGAATGCGTTTATAGAACGAGTAGGTAGAATATCAAAATGCTAGTTCGTGTATTATAATTAGCGATTGACGTAAGCAGGTGTAGTTCTAATGATTTCTTATCAAATTTAATATCGTTATTAAATGGGAATAAAATATTTCGAATAAAGCTATTCCATTACATGAATTTATCTTTTTATCTTTGTTTCGCTAATCAAGTTTTGTACAGAATATATAAAATATATAAAAATGAAAGTAATTGAGCGGCAAATTCGAATCTTAATTCGTATCACTTTGTTTTAAACCAAGAAGCAGTATATTTTACGCCACCAACAAATTTGTAATTAATACACTTGCCTTTACTCCATCTATTTCAAAGATGGAACATAACCTTTCTTTATTCCGCTGGTACAATTAATTGTTATGTACAGAAGTCCACGTAACATTAAAAGTGTAGTTATAGCTTGTTGGATATTTTCGTAATATATGAATTACTCTACAAAGACGTTCCATTGTATATTGATTGTATTAAGAAAAAGTACCGGTACGAGAATATTATTAAATTTAAAAAAATGTAAGTATTCCTTAATTATGAACGAATAATCCTTGATAAAAGAGACAGAATATAATAATTTTTAATTAGATTTATTATTTAGAACGTGTGTGAATACAATTCAAAATGACTGCAATACTAGGTGCTGGTATGTCAGGCTTGTCAGCTGCATATTATGCACTACAAAATGTAAAAATGACTCCAATAACGATATTGGAAGCATCAAATCGTGTGGGTGGTTGGGTACGCTCTTTAAAGCAACCTGATGGAACAATTTTTGAACAAGGCCCACGAACTATTAGACTCACAGGTGCAAGCGCAAAAAATACATTAGAGTTAGTAGAACAATTAGGATTATCAGACAAAATTCTCCCAATCAAACATATGCATCCTGCAGTTAGAAACCGCTTGATATATTCAAATAATCAGTTACATTTATTACCTAATACTTTTAAGGGTATTATAAAAAAGAATACACTGTTAAATCGTTCTTTGCTTGGCACTGTATGGAAAGATTTAAGAGCATCAAAGGTTTCTCACGATGATGAAAGTGTATACAGTTTCATGGAAAGAAGATTTGGCCAAGATATAGCAGATAAGATAGGTTCCTCTATGGTTTGTGGAATCTGTGCTGGAGATGCACGTAAAATAAGCGTAAAATCTTTAATGCAACCTTTGTTTGAAATTGAACAAAAATATGGCTCTGTAATCAAAGGTCTTATATTGGACAAAATATCAGAGAATAGAAGGATAGCTAAAGAAGTTGTAAAATCTAAATCAAAGTCTACGGATGGTAGTCAGATAAATATAAAATCAGACAATACACCAATAAGTTTAAAAGAGAGAGCTCAAAGAGAAATGTGGACATTATGGGGCATTGAAGGAGGCCTTGAGCAATTGCCAGTTGCATTAGCTAAAAATATAACTGAATGCGGAGTAAATATTAAAACCGGACATAAATGCGAGCAGCTTAAGATTCATAAAGATCGTATAGAATTAACAGCAAATGGAGAAGTTAAAGAATATTCTCACATAATTTCAAGCTTGCCTGCAAAAAATTTAGCTGATCTTCTACAAGACCAACATTCAATATTATCAAATGAATTGAGAAGTATACCTACTGTAACTGTTGGTATAGTTAATCTTGAATTTTCTGAAGATATTTTAAACATAAATGCATTTGGAGTACTTATCCCACCGAAAGAAGAACTTCCGATTCTAGGAGTGATATTTGATTCATGTATTTTTCCTCAAAAATCCAACACAACAGTATGTATAACTACAAATTTTTGTTACTCATATTTTCCCTGACGCGAAAAGATTTTTAATATTTAAGTACAACGAAACACTGCTTAATACTGCCCCATTTAATGCTGTTGCTTCATCTTTATTAAAGAGAGAAAATTTGAATAACTTTTTTCAAAATTTTTTATTTTATTATCTTTTAACATTTGTTTGCACTCCTGGGTTTCCTTCAGACGTACATATATTACACAATAATTTTATCGTGTTCCGAGCGAGAGAATATCGCGACCCGACATAATATATTACAGAGAGATGATCTGTTGGCTAGGCACCAGCAAACTAAACAGGGCAAGAGCAAGGAGAGAAGGTCTTCGCGCCGCCTAATACAATTACTGCGGCCCGCTCTGACGTCACGCTGCATAGTGGTAGGGTCCCCAAAACCACGAGAGTCTCTCAGTCCCTCAGTCTTGTCTTATCCTATACGTCTGTCGCTATACGTTTCGTTCGTGTCCTTTGTCACGCGATGGAATTGTAGTTATGTGCGACGCAGCCAGTAATGACAATGCGTGTGAGAGCAGGCGTCGCTATTACGTTACGGCCAATCGGCGTGCCTAGCCATCAAATCATCTCTCTATAGTACACGACGGTCTATAAACATAATGCCAGTAAACAAGATGCAAAGGGAAATTATTTCCCTGAATACAAAATTACTGAATTAAAATTTTCAACATTTCCTATAAATACTGTGACATTTTCACCTACTCCTATTCAGACAATATTAAAATGACCTTACTTAGCACATTTCCATTTAGCGTTCTAAATTATAAGAACAAATCTTGCGGTCTTACTGTATTTACTTACGAATATATTATAGACTAGAAGAGCTTCTTAATATTGAACATTTATCATTTTTAAACTCCAGGTACTAACGGTAATGATGGGAGGGGCATGGTTTGAGAAATACTTTGGTAACTGCTCATCTGAAGAGCATTTGTTGACTGTAGCAGTCAATCAAGTGAAGGAAATCTTACATATTGAGGAAGATCCCAAGGCATTCAATGTTTCCATTCTGAAGGACTGTATTCCGCAGCACATAGTAGGTCACATGCAACGCTTAACCCGCATCCACAATTATATCTCCATGCACAAAATTCCTCTAGGGTTGTGTGGCTCTTCATACCAAGGAGTAGGATTGAATGATGTTATTCTGTCAGCAAAACAAGCTGTTTCTGATATCAATTCGCACAGACTGTAATTTAATAAAATTCAAATGCAGTTTAGCCAGGCAAACGTTGCAATGCTGTCCTCTATGACTCAAAAAGTGAAAATAAAACACACACACACACACACACATACAAGAGCAGTGTTACAGCTATGAAATAAAAATAATCCTTAAAATATAATTTAAATGTAAAACGTGCATTATACAATTCATATGCTGCATAATACACAATTTAAACAGTAAACAAGAAAATAATGAGGACAATAATAATTATGGAAAGAAATATAATAATTGGCGACGTAATAAATCTATAAATGTCATTTTATGTACATAAATGTAAAAAATAATTATACTAAATTAAAAGATTGGTGTACCTAATAATACTACCATCTGGAATATTTTTTCATGTGCCTACAAAGATCCATTGATGACAATAAGCTTTGCATGCTGTGCATAGATCAGTTTTCCAATACTGTCCAAAATATATTCAGGTATAAGTAACAAACTTTGAACATCGTTTTGTGTTCCTATGTGACACAGAAACAAATGAACCTCAGAAAACAATTTACATTTCCATATACTTCTTTCACTTTGGTCTCTATAATGTAATAAATTTAGGAAATATGCATTGTATTCATACAGAATATTAGCATTATTATACTCAGCTCGAGTTATTTTATAATCGTAATTTAAAGAAAAAAACATTTCTCTCAGAAATTTTATTTATATTATAGAAGAATACAGTAAGCTACTGTAAGTATAAAATTATCGATTACATGTAACTATTAAGTACTGATAAATAAAATATATATATTTATATGAAACTAATAAAAATGGGATATCATCTATGTGATATTTCTTTTGTAAAAACAAAATAATTTAGTAACCTTAATTACACTCTTTCGTATTATTCTAAATTACTGTAGATAAGCAAGCAGGAAGTACTGTAGGGATGCATTATACAAGCACATAGCATTCCGTATTTGTAAATAAATCATAATTAATTGTGCAACTACTACACGCAATATTTATTTTTAATAGTAGTATTGCACAATTCCAATAAAACAGTTCAAAACATTAAATAGTTTACTTCTGTTTAAATAAATTCTATTTGAACTTTCTTGAAATTCTGAGAATATTTTTGCTCCTCGAAAAGAAAGTTTAGCAAGAAGGTATGTAGAGCATTAAAGAGATGTAAATTTTCTTGTTAAATAAAAACGTTCAAGTAGATTCAAGTAGAATAAAAATAGTTTACCATACACTTTAGATATCGACAGAGTATCAAAACAAGTTTACTGACTAACAGTACCTGCATATTTAACTTCGTCAAATGCTTTTCTAGCTTTCTTTAATTCTTCATTCATGGTTAAAAGATCCTTTACTCTTGCATATTTTCTTGGATCTTTTTTAACTATAAAATAAAATATTCATCGAATACTATATCGTTTAAAATTCATGTTATTAAGTTTAGAATGTAGACTATGAAAAATGTAACAAATATAAAAGCAAAAGTATGGAATGGTTTTATATTTAATAGCATGAGTAGTACCTAAAAATACAATATCTTCTACTTGAACACGTCCAGTACGTCCAATTTCCATAGCCCTGTGTGTCATTTCGGTAATGAACTCAATAACAAGATCTTCTAATAAATCTACACTTTCTGTATAAGGATTTTGATCATCCCCAAAACCATACATCATGCAGCGCAGTTCCTTCGAGAATAAACGCTTTCTACCCCCGGGTAAAGTTCCACCAATTGGAATTTCGGTTTCCTCATCTTCGAACTGTGAGTTTTTAATTTTTCTTTATAATTATCATGTATAACATTTATTTGCTTTATTAAAAAAATTAAAAATACATACGTATTTCAGGTAAGATTAGTCGTAAATATATTTTAAATAAGTAACAATTAAGGTTATGTACTTCGTTAATTTATATAAGAAATGGCGTTATACTGAAATTCATAAAAAATTTAATATTTACAAAAAAGTACCTGTTCGAAACCCTCTTCTGCAGCCATAATTAATGGGAATTTCCAAATTTCTTGGAAATTTTAGATATAAAACCAAATACACAAAATAAACAAACTAACAAACGAAATCAGGTGAAATTAATCTCCGATCGTTACAGTTGCTTGAGATTTCTATCGTGTTCTAAAAAATGATTGAAACTAAAGAATATAGATATATATGAAAAATGATAAGAATGTTTGAATTTAATGGAACGCTATTGAAAAATTGAAGAATCATGTCGTCGGTAATCTCTGGAAAAACAACTTGGAAAGAAACTAATCGGTTAAATAAAGAACAACGAAAAAAGTGGCGGGAAGAGAGGTTAGCGAAAAAGTTGAAGAAAGAAAACGAAGAAAAGGAAGTGTCAAAACCCGTCGAAGAAGAACATTTTGAGGAGAAAGATATTTCAACCGTGAGTATCGCGGTTCCTGGATCGATTTTGGATAATGCACAATCCCCGGAGTTACGAACATATTTGGCGGGGCAGATTGCACGTGCAGCATGCATTTATAAAGTAGATGAAATCGTGGTCTTTGACGACAAAGGAGAAGCAACTGAGAATGAAAAGAAGAAAATAAAAAGAGACGAAGTGTTAGGCGAAGGAAGAATTGGTTGTTTGCAATTAGCTAGAATATTGCAATATCTTGAGTGTCCGCAATATTTACGAAAATATTTTTTTCCGATTCATAATGATTTACAATATGCTGGATTATTAAATCCTTTAGATGCCCCGCATCATTTACGTCAACAAGATGTATCCCTGTACCGCGAAGGAGTAATTACAAATAAGCCAGTTAAAACCGGCAAAGGTTCTTTTGTTAATGTGGGATTATTGAATGATGTTCGCGTAGACAAAGTATTAACTGCGGGACTGAGAGTCACTGTGAAAATACCTCAAGATCAATCAAATCTAAAAAAGTTAAAAGGTTCCATCGTATCACCTGACATTCCTAAATTAGATGCTGGTTTATATTGGGGTTACACAGTGAGGTTAGCTAATAGTCTCACAGAAGCATTAACACAGTGTCCTTACAAGGATGGATACGACTTGACAATTGGTACTTCTGATAAAGGAACGTCTATTGATGATATAGAACCAGGAACTATGGAATATCATCATGCTTTAATTGTGTTTGGTGGATTGTGTGGATTGGAGGCTGCTGTAGATGTTGATCCTAATTTGGATGTAGATGATCCATCCATGGTGTTTCATAAATATTTGAATACCTGTCCTCAGCAAGGATCAAGAACTATAAGAACAGAAGAAGCTATACTGATTAGTTTAGCAGAATTAAGAATTAAATCAGCCCCTAAAATTCCACCATTATCGAATCATCAATTTAACAGTTGCATGAATAATTGAACTATCAGTGAGTACAACATTAACAAATGTAAATAATGGTGCAGAAAGACTAAAGTGGGTGTTAAAAATATTGGTCGCTTAAAGCTATTAAGTAGCCTTAAACTAAGGGTTTTCCATAGTATATCTGAAAGTGCCTGCTTATGTATTTGAATACAATTGTGGTTTGTAGTAATATCATTAAAGAGGAGGTAATTTGTAACATTGGTTAGTTAGGTGAGTGGTTTTGTGTAGCCAATTTATTTAATGCTCATTTTAGAAAATTTTACTCATATATTTTTCTTTCTTTTTTTTTTTTTGTAAACATTGTATACAAAGTTACAAAATATTCCCAAAATTTATAATATATACACAACTGACTTGACATTTTATACAAGTTATTTTCTTTCCTACTTTCAGCTACTTTGTAGCGCGCAATTTACTTTATCCCTTAATGTTTTTATAACTTTTGCTTGGTCAGAAGAACCTATGACTGCTGTTCCAGAAACAATCATATTTGCACCAGCCTAAAAAAAATACATCATTTGTAGTAAATTTTAGATTCCTTTTGTATAATTAATTTATTATACATACTTTTGCACATGTATCAATCGTAGCTGGTCCAACACCACCATCTACTTCTATATCTAGCGTAGGATAATTTTTTCTTAACCATGTTACTTTTTCCATCATTGATTCCATGAACTTTTGCCCACCAAATCCCGGTTCTACCGTCATAACTAATACCATATCTGCTAGATCAACATAATCTGCAACTACATTCACTGGTGTACCAGGTTTAAGTGCTACCCCAACCTTTTGTTTAAAAAAAATACAATTCGTTAATAATTGAACCTTAGAATAGTAGATTACATACACACCATCATCCCTGCTTCTTTTACTTTTCTACAAAGTAGCGGAACATCCTTTACAGGTTCAACATGAAAGGTATATTGATTAACACCAGCATCAGCCATAGGTTCTATCCACTGAGTAAAGAAAAGATACGATAGTTTATTTCTTTCACATAAAATAGGGTAATAAGGTATACCTGTTCTGGTTTAGAAACCATCATGTGTGTTTCAAGAAAGGCATCTTTTACTTTGCTGCGAAGACATTTTACTAACGGGTGGCCAAATGTAAGGTTAGGTACGAAATGTCCATCCATAACATCTAAATGCAAATAATCGGCTCCATTGTTAAGTAATTGTTGCGATTCATCCGAAAGTTGTGCCAAATCGGCGTTCAAAATGGAAGGTCCAATTTTTGCTGTTAACTTTTTTCCCATTTTTAACAAAATAGGTACCGCGAGCACGCGTTTCTAACGGTGATAAAGCACTATCGAATGGCCTGATGATCTTGGTTTCAAGGTCAGATTTATGTCACACCACTATGTTGAATATGAAATTCGGAATATTGATACTTACAAAAATAAAATGGAATAAACAAAAAATTATATGGAGGGAGATGGATCTTCATCACAGATTTACGAACGCTCTACGAAAAGAAATACATTTATTTATAAAAAAAAAAAAAAAATATAGCATTTCACAGTAGCTGCTAGATTATGGTAGTCTTAAAGAAATGACAGACTAAAATACTCAAGATATGTAACTAATAATAATTAATACTAATTAATAAGCGAAATAATAATCGAAGTCAGAACAGCGACGTGTTATTCTTTTTTCACCGGGTCATTAATGGTTTAACAACTAGTCTTAATATTAAACAAAGTAACTTTCAGTTTTATCTGCCTTTACGATCGGCATCCACTGTACACGAATAATAAATAAATAATTCGTTAAAACTATACGATACCTTATTCAAGAGGTATTACAAAATATATAGTACTTAAATATTGAAATAGTCTGACATCGCTATTTCCACTAAAATCAGTAGTATAAACAAATATAAAATTCTTTGGTACGCAAAAATGGTGTATAAAATTTTAAGTAAGATAGTAGTTACATTTCATTAATAATAATTAAATAAGCGTTGCTAATTCTCGAACGCATTGTCGAGTTGTCAGTACTAACATATAATTCTATTATATAGAATTATATACAGTGCTTATACTAACACAATACCATTTGACGTTAACGAACACCGAAACTTAGCATATTTTGTCCAGTTGGTCTCGTACGTTGTACATCGAAAAAGTGAGCGATCGAAGCAATCGAGACTTTTTCTTTAATGACTCTTCAATTAACTCTGCGGTCCATCTCCGTTTCAGGCTATAAAAAAGAAATAGATTTACATAACGCGTTACATTTATATGTTAATAGGGTACTTAAACGTAAACGTAAGAACATACGCGTAATGGATAAAGGAACGTGCTGACGACTTGCTGACGATGTCCGGACTTTGCTTGACAAATGTAACCACCCATGTCTTCCCACAATAGGTCTTCTATCAGCAGATCACCGCTATCCAATATTCTGTGCCGTAGATTTGTCGACATAGTTAACGGTACATTGTAGTTGTCCAACCAAGAAATTTCTGGTGTTGGTTTACCACTCGCCCTGCACGGTAGTACGATGGTCGCTCCTATGTTAGCCACTCGCGTAGGAGAGTACAGCGTAATTGTCGGATCACTTTCAGAGCTGCAATTGCTGTTGCCACTTTCTTCACCTGTGATAAATAAATTTGTTAGAATTTAACAACATTAATTGTAAAGAATCAAGGGTTGCAATCCAATTTTCTGAATAATGAAACAGCAATGTTACACGAGCAAAAAGAAGTTTTTCTAAAAAATCAATCTTACTGAAATACACAGGACATATAAATTATATGAGGAATAACTGTCACGTGAAATATAATTATACTAATGCAGATTCAGACAATTGGCAATGCCCACAGTTAATTGTTAATTGTATTCCACTTACTGTTAACAAGCAGCACTGTGGGAGTGGATACCTTCACTTCTCTTGCCGAAACTGACGCACAGTAGATCAAACCAGCATCATCCGGTGTAACACATTCTAACACAAGCTTTGAATTAATTCTGGCCAGTCCTTTCCACTCCTCTGTTGGATCATACAAAGAGTGTGTGTTGGCTTTAACGTATTCAACAAGCTAAAACAAAATGAACATAAATAATTAATATCCTCCAATTATAGCACGGTCAAACGATGTCTGATCATAATATTCACCTGTGCATTGCTGCCACTACCTGTGAACCATAGAATTTCTGGTGGTGGGCTACCGCTAGCTTTGCATTCCAATTCTACTCTGCTCCTGTAACAGAGGAAAATAGATAATTCGGTACGGTTACTTTCATTTCATATAAATTTCTAGTTTTTGCTCTAGCATTTGATATTTACCCCACGGTTGCCTCTATGCCATTTACAGGATTTTGATTGATTTTGGTCCATGGTTCCACCGGCTAGAACAGAGATTCAAATATAAATCATTTTAACCTGTCATGTACCAGTATTTTATTTATGGAACATTCAGAAATTTTTTTTTTACTGGTATTAAAATTTATTTAAGGTTTTAGTAATTTTCATGGATTTGGAAACTAAATAATTTTGATCGAAGTCGAATTTTTGACGTGATTGTACAAATACGTCTTTCCCGAAGCGAGATTATTTAATTAAATGATACGAAGCGTCGCAATGTGATTCATAATTGTTTGACGCGAGTAATGCACTTTAAATATTAAGGATTTGTAAATTTGGGGTTACCGAAGATTTTAGAAAGCAGAGTAATTATCTTTCTTAAGGCTATCGATGTTTATTCATTTCGCGGGGAATTTAGGAATACGTATTAGTTTTCCGTGTTACCTTCGAATCGCCCGATCGTGATCCGTATTCCGTTAACGGTGTTAAGAAATTAGATCTGTTTTCTACTGTTTCTCTTCCTATGCTCCTACGTTCAGCAGCACGATCAACTGCATGCCGCGGCAGGAACGAGAAGGGTTGTCCCGAAACCGTGTACGATACGGTAATAATGTAAATGAGATTTAACAGCGCCGAATACGATTGCATCTGAAAACAGACATGAAATTGTAAATCAGAAAAAAGGATTCAATTAGATCGTGTAAATAGAGATATCGAGTAATGGTAATGGTATCAGTAAAGGAACATAAACGAAGAGGTTTAATGGTTGTGAAAGGACGTTGTGTAATGATTGAATCAGAATGAAGATGACGGACTAACGTCACGTTCTTTTCGCAGAAATTGGACCGATTGAATATAACAATGCGGATTTAATTGTCGAGTTAGGTGCGCGCGATTTATAATATCGATTCATTCGACCTTCCTCGAGGATACGAGTAAACACAATTGGCAACAATGAAATTAAACTCTTGAGAACGCGACGATAATTAAATATCTACAGTAATAACGAACAACATACATTTTATTATTTCTCTTTTGAGTGCGACCGTTATCGGGAATGTGTTACGAGTTAATTTCGTCTAACAATTGCCGATAATGCGGCAATAATATTACGATTATCGGTTCTGTTCTTGTTTTGACACGTTCATCTGTGATTTTATGTATTTTCTTGGCCGGCGCGGGTTACGGTCGATCTCGTATTCGAACACGTCTCTCGGCCGACGATTTTTTTTTTCAGAATTAATTAAATTCGGGTTTCGAGAGTCGAGAATTCCCGGGTGGGCCCTCGAACGGGCCGTGATTCGTGTCGAAACAATTTGAATTGCCGTGTGCCTGGATGGGACGTCGGTCGCATGGCCTGCTCGTTAAAGTGAGCATCGAAATCACCAAATTAGAGATTTTCTTATCTATTGTGTTATCGTAATACAAAATGCCTCGATACCTTTGTCGCTTCAATGCAACGATGGTACACGTTCGATAGCGGGCACGCCAGGAATGTGTCATTTTCGAACGTCTGCGCTCCCAATTTAATCGGTATATCACGACTCTTATTTTATTCTTTTTTCCGTCTCGACATGTTCGATCGAGAATTTCTAACGTAAACATCCCGTCGATCGTACGACAGTCGACGTGTTTCCCGGACGAGGAATTCTCGTATCGCGAACGCACTTAAAGCATTGTGTATCGTTTTATTTTCGACATTTGTTCGGTTCTCCCCTTTCTTCACGCCTCGCGAAAGGAAGGAAGGAAGGTCACGTGCGCGGTTTAACGGAGATTAAGTAACTTGGCCGTTAACGAGGCAAGATGTTTGGAAACGAATTCGCCTCAGCGTCAATGAAACACATGTGGTGCAAAAAATAAGGGAGAATCGGGCGACGATACCGCGGAGGAGTGTGTGTATATCATTTTTTTGCTGCAAATACGCCTGCAGCGACTCGAGGCAAGTTAAAAGTGACTTAAACTTCCAAGATATAGGATGAGCTTATCTTTTCATAATGAGACGAGCGAGGTTTTCGATGGCTTCAATGAAAAGTCCAGTGAAATGTTTATATTTAACCACCAATTACGGAAAGGATAGTTTCTTAACGTGTGTATAATAAGTTGCGTAAGCACAAGTAATCGCGGTTATTATATAAATCAAAACCAAGAAGGGAGAGAACGTACAATGTTATCCGAAACAGTTTTAATGTAATTGCAAATCGTGCCGTGAATGTCGTACAGAAAATAGTCGTCGTTTAATCAGTATTGTAATACACGCTTATATTTGAAAAATTGCTGTTTTCTTTAAACGTTAAATAACGTGAATATTCCTCGGAAGCTGGAATTCTATTTTCCAATTTCAGTACTCAAGTATTTTAGGATCGTTTAAAAATTATAATTTTATATTTTATTATCGTTAATTAACGTACGAAAAATACTTTCGTTCGAGATTCGTTAGGATGTATAACGGAATCGTATTCGTCGCATTGGTGAATTCTAAAAATAAATTTGTAAGTTAAATTTGACGGTTTCAATTGGAAGTACGTGTCAGTAATTAGAGACTAACGTAAAACAATAAGAGCGTTTAAAGCGTAGTAATACGATTCGATTCTTACGCGTTAACAGCATTCCAGAATTAGGAGGATGAATATCCCCCAGGACAGGAAATTGATAAAAATGGATTGCAATTCACTCGTTAAAATATTTATGCTAAAGATAGAATGGAGTTCTCCGTGCATTACCTACTTTTGAAGCTGTTAAAACAATATAAAAATTTAATATTCTTACGCTACTGGGCCTGCTATTTTTAAAGCTGTATCTATATTGCGTTATACAAAACTTTATGTCCGTCATAGCTGTATGATGTTATAAAATCAATTTTACACGTGGTCTGGCGCAAAAATTGTCGTATAATAAGTATTGTACGTTCTTTAATAAGTATTTGTAGTCACCTTACCTTTCTATCTTTAAATCACGACGGATAATTATCACACGTAGATAAAGCTCGCAAAAATATCAATCCTGGTACCGCTGTGAGATATAACTTTCGATAAAGATACTCGCGCCGGAGATGCTTTCTAGGAGCGCACATCACGGGAGTAGGTTTCGAACCGAATGATGCAACTTCTTATACAATCTTCACATCTTCCCTATGATCTCGCGCCCTCTTTCCTCAAAGCCCTTTAACAGTATCTTAATCTAGAGGTGATATCACGGGAACCATAAACCGCGATAAGAAAATATGCAGTGTCGCACGGAATATACCAAAAGGACGAAAATCTCAACTCTTTTTTTTTTTATATATACACTATATATATATATATATATATATATATATATATATATTTTTTTTTCAACAATTTTTTTTTCTTTCTCAGAAAAATTAATTCTTACGAAGTTTTTCACCGCGCGGACGAAAAAAAAGAGTTATCAGAAAAGTTTCATTTTTTTTTTTTTTGTTTTTTTTTTCACGGCGCGTGAAAGAGGCGAGAAAAGAAATTGTCGACCGATCCCCGTTAAAAGTTGAACTTACCATTTCTTTCTCTTACTTTCACCCGTATGTGGAAACGAGAACTGGCGTTCACTATTAATCGTCAGTTTGACAGCGGCGAACAAAAATACTGACTGAGCGTCGAGGTACAGTTATTGACACGTTTATATATTTCGAATGTAGCGACGGGCGCCCTCGCTTATCCCCGATTGGACGACATATCGAGGAGTAGGGCAATAAAAACCACACCAAACAATTGAATTCATTATACGCGCGTCTCGTTTGTGCACACGTAACAGTCGTACCCAATTTACTTCCACTCTCATCTATGCCCATCGATTTTTACTTCGAAAATACTGCCACGATAATTAGTTTTATTGAAACTGATCACACCAGAAAGGAGACGGCCGCAATTACCCCCAACGAACATCTTCTCGGTCGGATCCAACGATATTCGACTGCCCAAACTTTTCTACGATATACCCTCAATTCGTTAGGGTGTATTGACGTTCGAAACGCCGGGGACCAGTGAGAAGCAATTGCGCGATACAAAATTAATTGGCAGTACATTATAACAAATCCAATTTGTTCAGTGGCGAGTAACATTGATGATTTATGGCCGTCAGGCCTGCGTTTTGGGCGCAGTCTCTTTACGAACCCTTTCCAAGGTCATCGAATTTTTGTTCGAACTCGTAGACACCAACTCGCGATACGTTAACTCTCTACGTGTTATAAAGTACAATGTTGATAACAAAGAACTTTTTACAGTGTCTCTAATTTTATAATATACATTTAAGATACTTACATTTTTTAATATCTTTAATAGCACGTTCGTAAGATTATAATACTGACGTAAATTCTAGGCCCAGGGTCCGATTAAAGTCTGAGTCTCGAGATTGAAGAATGATTGATTAAAGGTCTTCTTGATAAGAAATGTAGGGGATGTCAAGATTTATAGATTATTTTTTAATGAGAAAGCATTACCATTACAAATGTACAGGATAACAACATTTTTAGTACCTCAAGTTACGTTAATAAATTTTTTGTAACTTTTGGAACAATTAAACAATCTTTTTGGACATTTCGAGATCCATTTGACAGAAATATCAAACTGAACATATTTTATTAGGAAATCGAACATAATTGAAAGATCGTTTTAGTATTTGGAAAAATGGGGTCCTTTGAAGGACGAGGCCCGAGACGCAGACTCCCTAGCCTCCCCCTTAATTAATGACAAATGAAACAAATTACCCCTGGAAAGTACTGGACTTTTGAAATCATGTACAATAATCTGTACTGTGATTCCATTTCAAAAACCATTTTATAAATTATGTACGTTAATAATTCGTTTCTGGAAGCTAATAAAAATTCATGAGGATTCAAGCTAAACTATTATAAAACATTCCTGAACGGAGTTTACCTGATGTATCTTAAAAAAACGTAAAAAAAAAAGAATATAATTATTTAAGCAGAAAACGATAAAAAGAATTAATTGGATGTTCTTGATATTTGCACGAAGAAAACAAGTATAAAAGAAATAATATAATTGAAAATTTGACGATAAAACAATATCCATCGCTTTTAATATGTTGTCAATGTGCCGTGCTTTCATAAACAATTTTTTTTTATACGTAAAGGCCCCCATACCCCAGCATTCTGAATGGAATGTACATATCTCAATTTCCGCCCATTATTTTCATTAGTTTTATTCGCGGCCGATTTGATTTGCCGCTGTGATAATCTAAAATCACGAACTGCAATCAGTGGATTGTTTATCTTTCAGGATGATTGAAGGAAAGTGGCACCGTTTTCAATCGATCATTCTATACTGTGTTAAAAAAAAAAATATCGCTGTTCGTTGAAATTATTGTAAATCGTAAATAAAAATTATAGTACAGTGTTTTTAGTAATTTAGAAGATCTGATAACGTTTTATAAAAACTTTATTAACATACGTGTGCAAGTTTCACAAAAAATTTTTATATTGAATATACATATATTATTTAGGTGAACTTATCTAAAACGAATTCATCGTAATGTTTTTCAATTGCGTTAATCAATTCGGCTGTAGTAGTAATATCTACTCCTAGACTTTTAAAATTCTTGTCAAGTTGTTTCGTGTGTTTCGATACTTCTTGTAAAATCTGCAAATAATTTTATCACAATAATTTGTATATCAAAGATATTATATGTTATATTATTCAACGCGTCTTGATTATTTAGTTGATCATAACAAACGTGTTGCATTGTATATACACATATATATATATATATATATGTGTATACACACAGTACAGAATGCTTTGCTATGTAAACATAACCTCTAACCATGTTTATATTTTGGTAATACTGCATATTTCGTCCTTTTTGGTATTCGAAAGAATGTTTGTGAAGAGATGATTTAGATGTTGATGGTTTATTGTCCATGGTCAGTAAATTATTTTATTACTATTTTATGATAAAAATTTTGCTTACGCACGCTTTTTTCGAGTATAATGATATAAACCAATGTTATCAGACCGGGCACCAGAACATTTCATCCCACTTTCGCACACTATGCCCGATCACGCATACGCGAGCTCACAGAATTTCGGCGAGTCGAGAAAGAAACGCTCGCATTTACATTCTCTCTCAACTTTCCGAAGCTCTACGAACTGTACGAAAATGGAATGAGCAGTTCTGGGTGCCCCCGGTGCCCGATCTGGCAACACTGACATCAACTTTCATCAACTATATAGTTCGTCACAGTCCTAAATTCCCTAGTTAGCGAACCGTAAGTAAAATATTCGAGATCAGATAATAAAATGCTATGTGTACATGGCTTAAAGATTTGTTTCTTTATTCTATTTAACGCGGTCTAAATATTTTGTTTTAATCTGTAAACGAATCTTCGTTAAAGAAATTCACTTTCATATTTAAACGATAAATGCAATTCGATCATCGACGAAACGGATGATTCGCTTTCTGCCATTCAAAAATCGAAACACCTTTAAAGCTTTTTACACACCTGTAACAATACGAATTACTATGGATCGTACGGGCAAATCATGTGTTCTGTGTTAATTTGACTTTCTAAGAAGTGACTAGTTCAAACTGTTATGTTTTCGATTTTAAAAAATATTTAAGTATGGTTATAGAATGTTATATACGCGTAGAGTTTCCTATTAAATGTTTAAGGGATACCGATCAATATGGATATTTGTAAATTGCTGTGACATCAAAAATCTAAGATGAAAATGTAAGTTAAAATTTCGATCATGTTTACACATTTAATGATGAACTGTCAATTGTAATGCACTTAAAAATATGAACCAACGTTAAATTGTCTTTGGTGTATTGCTTGTAATATTTTATATTACTGAAAAATTTTATTGCATCGATATACATTATTTCGTTTCTTGTTCTAGATCTTCTTCATCATTGCCACTGTGCACAAAATTTTATCTTCTACGAAATCTTACATGTCTATAGACACGAATAGATAATATTAAAATAACTTGATAAGTTTCCTTAGTGTCGCATGGATGTGCACAAAAATATTAATGTAGAAGTAATAGGTTAAAGTAGTTCTGAGATATTTATTATGGAATTGCAAACAGACATTTCTATTTTGCGGCCGCCAGTTAATTTTAGAAATACAGGCAATGTATTTTATACACCTCTCACTTCGTTCGCTGGTATGTAAATTTGTAACAAAATAATCATTACAGCAAGGAACATAAACTCCCTTTGATATAACTGTTACAGAAATGTGGTATCAAATATTTTTATGGGCCCTATTTTCTTCCATTTTTGTTCATACCATAGCTGGTGCAATCTGTTTTGCTACATTACGGCAACATAAATATGGAAAGTATGTAGAACGTATGCCATAGTTATTCCAAAGAAAAATTTAATTTAACTTATTCAAATGATAAACTGATACTAAATTAAGAAAATTCACTTTTACATATGACTCCATAGAGCATAAAATAACAGAGTAATTTTTAATTTAAAGATTCTTCCCATTGCTCATTATAATAATGGGTGTATTATTACCACTAACATCGGGAGTTCTTAGCTCCGCTGCAGTTGCTTTTGTATATAGAGCATCACGTTATCCACTGCCACCATTATATGCGTTATTCTGGGGTATCGGGCAGACTGTTGTGGCAGGATGTGTTGGATTTACAAGAATTTTAGCTACTTTATAGTGCAAAACAACTCACAAATTATATACAAGACATATGATTAGTAAGAAATGTTGTATGTATGATGAGCATTTTAAAAAAAGCAAGTGAATACTATTTTGTATTAATCGATGTTACTGATAAATAATTGCGTGTATGGAAACTTGTACATATGTAGATATACCAGGTGAATCATGTAACTTGTTGACTCCTATTATTTTTATTGTTAATAAATCGTTTGAAACTTTATCATTATGACTTACATGATTCAGGTTCGAAATAATATTCCATTTTTTGTAAGTTTGTGAGGATGCTTTCACTTAATTGGTTATTTATTTATTTGTATACAGCTTTTTTTTTATTTGGTGTTCTAATTTATCGAGTACAAAATATTCCCATTTCTCAATGTGATTTATTGCAAAACATAATATAAATCACTTAAGTATAATTTTATACAATGAATACTATTTATATTTATGTACAATTATATGTATTCATTCTTGTGGTTTATCAGTTTTTAAATGTTATTTAACATTGTTTGCAATATTTTTAATTTCTACCAATTCAGTTTCCAGTTCCTTGTTAACCTCAAGCTTTGTAGCTTCGTCTGTAGCAGTTAAGCTTTTCAATACCATATCTGTAAAATAAATAATATTTACATTCAAATTAATTATTGAACAATCTAACAACTCTCAATTATAGTGTTAAATATCGTATTAGATAATAAAACGTACAAATGATTAAATATATCATACCGTGGTATTTAGTCAGTGTGGCCATTGTTGAAGGTTGTAAATGCGTTTGAAGAAATGAAAGAATGGTAGATACATGTCTTCCAGCCATATATAGAGCATTTTGTGTTGTTGCAATAAATAATATACTTGTGGCTAAATGCAATGCTAATGCAGGATCTTGGGTAGAATTAAGCTCTTCCAATAAAGCTTGTTTGTGCCCTGAAATGAATGGTCTTTCTTTCTTTTTATCGTATTTTTTTAATGTTAGACAACAAGCTGCCATTGCAGCCTCTGCAAAATTTAAGAAATCATCAATAGATGTTTCAGCAACAGATTTATGTATGTTACTTAAAGGCTCTTTAACATCTGCTGGCAAATTAAGTAACATCTTTTGTCTTGTTTCTGTAGTAATATTGTTGGGAGCTTGGAGCATATTTTGTTGTGCAGCTAACTTAAACAATTCTGTCACAAACTCGGTACCAAGGGATTTTAATAAATATTTTGTTAAAGCAGGTTGATCCGCTTTACCTATTTGTTTAATGCCTTTGTCGAATATTTTAATATTTGTTATAAAAACATTAAGACGCTCTTCGATTTCGCTCAAATTCGTAGTTTTATTATTCTGTGCTAACTTATCTGCGATAGACAGTGCGTGATTGTTCAATTGTGGTTGCAAATATAACGCCAATTCCTCTACTAAATCATCAATTACTGCTAAATTATCATCTTTTGCAATCTCGTTTTTTATGACTTCTAGAGGCACTAATTGAATCTCAGTTTTTCCTGACGCAACTTTCGAATTCTCATTATCCGAATCGCTATCGCGACCTTTCCCTTGTAAATACTTCCTTTTAGTAGATTTTGTTTTTGTTTCTCTACCTTGACTACCACCACCTGCTTTACCACTTGTTGCCTTTTTTCTGCGTTCTTCCTTTTTACCTCCTTTAGTTTCGATTATCGAGTTGGCCGACTTAGATTTTATTCTGTTTTCTGCTATTGTCTGAAACCATTGACCACTAGCCACTGCTTCTCTAGCTTTTGTTTCTGCCATTGTCTCAAACGATTTGTGTAATGATTGCAAGAACGCGTCGGACATTACCACAGTTTTTGTAAATATGTGTGTATTATTGTTTAATTTCTTTTCTACCGCTCTAAGAAGCATTTCCATATCTTGCTCTGTGAATACAGATGGTAGAAAAGGGCTTATATCAATAAAAGATCCACTTTCAATAGCTTCTTCAATGTTTGCATCCACTTGTTCACTAACTGTTGTACCAACAGCGACAGAGGCTAAGAAGATTATATCTTCGTTTGGGAAATGACGTTTTACAAAGTTTGGTGGGTCTGATATTCCAAGTCGCGCGAGTGCATCGTATTCTAGTAACAAAAACAGAAAATCAGATAAATATAATATTACATTTCAAATTCTGTTAATGCAGCGCTAACGTCGTTCTGTGATAAAATACAACACAAACCTAAATAACCATTTTGTTTATAAAAATTTTCTACCCATTCGTTTAAGCTTTTAGTATATATAGTTGGTATATAAAGACTGTAGGTTCCTTGTTTTCCTGCTACAACACCAGGAATTTGTTTTAATTTTTGTAAGTCATTTAAAATTGCTGTAAAATATAAATACATATTATTAAACACTGAAGGCTGTATAGTCTTTGTGGTCGAAGCATCCAATTAATTAAAATTATTTACTCACAGAAAAATATTCCTTCTGAAATACTACATTGTTCTAAAATAACCGATAATGGTGTAGGTTTTGTGATGGCACACAAGGCTCCTCTTATTTTAGCTTTATTTCTAGCTATAAAATTTTCTGTATAAAAGACTCTAGAATCTTGTGTATCTTGTTTACCATGTATTGTCTTTCCTAACTCCTTCTCAATAAGCGATTGCAAGAAATTAGGTGGTAAATCATAATGTATTATTAACTCCGACACATTGATACTGCCATTTTGTGATAATTTATCATTGATTTCTTCAGCAATTTTAGTCGTATAAGTTTTATCGATAAGTTGCCCAAGGATTATCTTAAATCCTTTATTGTTCTTTTCTATTTCATTCGCTACTTTCGATATTTGAGACAGATTAATGTTAAGAATCCGTGCCAAATCAACTAAACTGATTCTTCCACCATGAATGTACAGTTCATCTTTGATCTCCTTTGCAACATGCTGTGGTGTAACATATTCTTTGCCGTCATTAGTAAATAATACATCTAGAAGTTTATTTTCTATTAATTTTGTTACGATTTCCACACAATTTCGTTCCGATAACCTGTACGGTAAAACATAAAATAAATATTGTAACAAAATATGCTAGTTTGAAATGTCGTGTGTTAAAGCGAACTGTCATAACACGCGCATATCTCAATTGAATTGTTACGGGTATTAATAAATTTGAATCTATTTTGTTTCATAAAAATCGTACTTTCACTTTACAGCTATTTAAATTTCGTTCGATGCAAATGTCACCGAAGAGAATACATTCGTCAAAAATGTATATATAGATATACATATTTTATGAAAAAGATCCATACTTCTGTAAAGTAGAACTAAGTTGTGCTTTCTGAAAATCAGCCGCCAATCTCTTAATTTCGTTCCAATCCATGGTAGTCATTTTAAAATTTTACTTTGACCCACTTCAATCACCAGATTGTATACGGCTACGTTGAAACACTTGTGCTTGGTAATGTCACAGACATATACCTCGTCTGCGATAATGTTCAACGCTGTTAGAATTGTTAGGATAAGATAACACACCGTCAATACCGATCGTGCGACCGTACATTTCGAATTCATCACCAGAGGGCTACGAACAGTACTCAATTCTCGCAAGTACACCCTGGCACCTAGTTCTAAAACATAGATGACCATCGAGTCGAAATGCTTTTTATGAATTTAAGACACTTCTACTGTTGTCCGTTGAACTGAATCTTATTAGTCCTCAGTGACGACACAACTTCTACGTGATTTTGATACACTATGAACATTTTGACGAGAATGTTACCAGCTTTAAGTCTACCAACTCATCCAGCACGATATAGATGTGCAGAATGATTATACCCAGGGTTATCAGCAGGGTTCGAATGACAGTAAATTTTTAACTTTTAAACTTCTGTTTTGTTTGTTTATTAATGCTTTAATTCTATCATAAGAGTTTAATTTGATTGAACAAAACCACACGATCGCGACAGAATCTTATTGGTCCGTTGTGTCTTTGATCCAAGGGTGTATCAAAAGTCGAATCAGTAGTTGGTTGATAAGTATATTTTTATTTGTATTATATTATTTTTCCCTCATTCACTCTTTCAATGCAGATTTGTAATTATTGTACGCAAATAATAACTTATATAAGTTTGATTGAACATGCATTTTTATTCGTATCAAAAAGAACCGATGTTTCGGTTCTATTACTAGTCATGTGGTTCTGTTTAACCGAGATTATCGTTTTCCTGGACAAAGTATAGATAGATAGGCTAATAAATATTTATTATTTATGAAAATGATAAAACACATATATTAAAAAATGTTTCACGCACTATACAAAAAAAAAAGAATAGATTTTGCATAGTGGCAGGAAATTAGGAACTTTTGTTAGAAGATGTTTTTGAATAACATTTAAAAAATTTGAACGTGAAAACACGTGTGTTTAAATATGTTGTTGTTTGTGCATAACGTGTAGGATTAGAGAAAATAAATAACGAAATGCGAAGTTTTTAACGAGAAAAAATTTGTCTACAGCGACAAGGCTGAAGTGGTAGCAATATTCTAAAATATAAGGTTAGTCGTGTAAATATGTCCCTTTATCGATTAGCTTTCTCGTGTATAACGGTTATATCGATAAATTATCATCAGTTTTCTCGAATATTTTCTGTTCGCTAACACATAATGAGTGAAATTTATGTTACTAATTTTTCTGATGCAAGTTGTGACAGTGTTTTGTCAGTGAGTTAATAATTTATATTATCTTACGAAATTTGTGCGATTGTTAGCTCGTATTCGATAATGTGGAATTGTAAAAAGTTTAAACATTGTCAACAATAATGTCAAGACTGAACAGCATGGTTTCAACAAAGATGCTTTTATTATTATTACTTTATTATATGTAACTAAGGTATATGATCAATTATATCTCTAGTTTAGTAGTTATCATTGTGTAAATCTTTTGCGATTTGTTACTTTATTCTATGATGTTCAATAAGAATTGGTTGCTTTAAATTAATCAAAGATCACATGTCTATCATGCATCTATTGTAAATTATAGAAGAAGCTTTATAAATGGTCATAATTTGGGAATTATTGGGAAAAAAGACATTGGAATGACCGTATGGTTACCTTAATATGGAATCGCATAAGGTTGACTTCATCGGTTACATTATATTCATATCATATTTTTCTTTGAACGATATGCGCATAAAGGCATTAATACTTTGTACTTGGATTGATAATAAATTATCCTGTATTGCAGGAAATTAAAATGTATCATTGATATGAAATATATTATAACATATTGGATATTAAAAATGAAAATATTCTTGAGATATAGACGTTATCAATTATGATATAAAAATACGTTATTATGATTAGTTTACGTCCTTTGTAACAGAGTATTTGTACATGGATATTTTTCTTGTTACCGCAATATCTATTTTTTTTTACAATGGGTTCACATTCTTTTAGGATAATATATCATTCTTGCAGTTACGGTGGTTTATTAATTATTTAATTTAAACTGTAAACATTCTTAAATCTTCACCTTGATCATCTTAAATCTTCAATGTTCACCGTCATACATCATTCTGAATAGCATAATGCTGGATTTTTTAATTATATTTTGTTGAGAATGTTATCAATGGATTAGCGTGGTTTTTTCGATAAAAATAAGTACAAACACAATGTCATACGGACTGTTCTTAATTATATGTAATGGGATATTTTTCACAGACTGATTTAAACAACGTATAATTAAAAATAGTTCGAACGAGGTCGTGGTTGGATTCATCTTCATCGTAAAAATCCGATTAGTCCGTTTCATTAGTTCGCTATTTCTTATTTTCGTCTTCTTTTTGCTTCATCTAGGTTTTTAGACAACAAATTTATTCCCTCTTCCATTTAAAAAAAATATAGCAGGTCCTTCTTCTTTCCTTCGTGAGTCACCCGTTGGTATTCTTCTGTTCGTGTTATATTTAATCAATTATACAGTGACTCGTATTACTTTGCAGACAACATGATACTCCATGCGTCATTGCTGTATACATATGTATATGTTGTCGCGAACGTCTAGTGATTGTCTACTATCACTAGTAATTATGTATCTTCATTTGTGAAATCAGTGAATGTTGATTTATATACTCATTAATACAAGTTTGTTGCATGATCGTTCAATAATCATCCGTTTTTTTGGTAAAATACATAAATGTAATATGAGCTTATAGCAAATGCATTATTTTTTAACGAGATAGAGTAATTACCCTGTACGGTGGAAGCATAAAATTAATGTTGTCACAGGAAACCGTTCGTGGTATATCACGAGACGGAATCCGTTAACGGTTCAGCGTTGCACACGTCGTGGTTTGCACACGGCGTGCAATCGCCCTTTTCGGATAGGGCGATCGTCGATTGTTAAATCGAACCGTTCTTAAGACGAGCACCGTGCCGTGCGTTCATCAGATCGTCGCGAGTTCGCGTCCAGACACAACGTATCAGATCATTATGTGTTTCACCTTATATAATAAAGTCTTCTGCTCGTTATCGTTATCTGTGCCTATACTTTCGACCACAGTGCATCTCCTATTGCTATCCCATTAACAATAATTAATTTAATATTATTTCCATAAAGCGTCTCCGACTCTTCGATTTAATTGTAAATTTCAAAAATTTATTTATCGTCTACCAAAAGTTTCATTCGGATGTACGTAACAATTAAACAAATTTTTTAAACGTACTGACACAAAAAAGATACAAAAATAAAAAAGAAGAAATATACATTATCCTGATCAATACGTTCCACCGCAGAAGATAAAACTGAATATTTCCGGCCTTTACGAATCCTTTTTTATCCCGGAAGCCACGCGGCGTCCATGTTTGGACTTCAGTTTACTTCGTTAAAAATCGTCTACCCCGCGACGGTACAATTTTTCCCACCAATCGATGTCTATTTCTACCAGTCGTGAAGTCGATTTAACCCACCAGATTCACGGAAGCCGTCAAATTTCAGATTTTAATATTCAAAGTCACAGAACTCGTAAACATTATTTGTTCGCGATCCACGTTGAATTTAATTGATGCAACGATACGAATATGATCGATGCTCTATCTGCGCGTATAGGAGTCGGACAGACCGCGCGCGTTCCGACCGATACCCCTTTTCCTCTATGCCAATCGCTTTCGTGCTCGCTTTATCGCTCGTTTAGACGCGTTAGTTCTCCTTTTAACGCGGAACTTTCGACCTCTCCGTTCGCTGGTGAATAAAACTTAGTTTATGCTCGACCTTGTTCTCGGTCGGATCGGTGGAGAGACCAGCGGTCGTCGGCTCAAGTAGACGATCGGCTCGGTGGAAACGCGTGGACTAAAGATTCGACGCGACGAAAAAATAACCGTACTGGTAACACGAACGACAACTATTTTCGACGCTACGCTTCGTCTGTCTGCGCTCTTCCATTCCGTAATTTCTTTGCTTCGCCTTTACTCTCTCTTCCTTTCTCTTTTTCTCTTTCCCTTTCCCTTTCTCTTTCTCTTTCTCTTTCTGGCTTGCTCATGGGGACCTTTCTTTTTATTTCTTATCGCTTCCCAGGGCCGGGCCAAGGCCTTTTTACACCCGTGACGATTAGAGGCCCTCTTGAGAGGAAGAGTGGGGGATGTTAGGATTTGTATTAATCTATACACTCGTTATCGATTCTTTGGGTTTATTAATTTCGTACGTTGAAGTAATAACACTTTCGCTAGCGAATACATTCGGTGAAGGTGCCGTATAATTTCACGTTCAATAATTTTCTTGTCTAGAACTATTGACGATTATGGTGTATTTGTTTGTTCCGGAGAAATTGAACCGACGAATAGTGGAATTTATAATGCAATGGAAATAAATGGTTATTCGTTCTCCTTATAGAAAAATTCAGTCGAATGAATCTTTTATAATTTTAGCAATTAAAGTTTTATTTTAGTGTTTGAGAAAATGAGGCCCCTTGAATGATAAGGCCCCGGGGCTAACCCAGTCCCTCTCCCCTCTCCTTTAAGTGGTTGGGTGTCTGTTGACAGCCACGCGTAGGCGGAAGTCTACGTGAATTAATACGTAGTAGGATCCCGACCGGCAGCCACGAACCACCATCGAGCATTTTTCGATAGTGATTCACTCGTGCTACTAGACTGTCTTTCCTCGCGTCGCTAGTGCCCGTAAAGATTAAGATAAGTCAAGTTATTTTCTTACATTAATGCACTTAAATGTAATTTTAACGTAAATCGTATCGCAAAAACGAAAGATAACTAAATTTGCCCTATAAAAAGGCAGACATTAGCGAAATTAATTATACCGTTACCAAAGTGTGAACCAAGTGGAAAAGGAAAATTTAAACGAACCGTGAACTAAATTAAAGATATATTTATCAGCCTGTAAAGATTCTCGAAGATCCCCGAAATTAACAAACAAAAGAAGTGAAAATGGTTTAAATATAAATTCACGGCTTGTATTCTTGTACGCTTGAATTTCAGTATTTTAAATGCACGTTCAAACTTTAATTTATCTTATTTTTTTTCATATTTATATTTTTATTTGCATTTTTTGTTCGTCTAATTCGTGATATTAAAACTGACCACAGTTGCATAAATTCGTCGAAAGACCGTGCGATTATTATGGAATATTTTGCACGTGCAGACGTGTACGAAGTAACATTCTTTGTTTGATTAATTGTTGAATGGAGCTCAACTCACGTGTTCCAGCATTGCCTTGGTTATTTACAGCGTAATGACTTTGGACGTTCGTACATGGATATTTTTCTGCTTTCTTTGGCACATTTTCCGCTTACATTATGATTTATTGTTCAAGAAATTTTATCCTCTGTTACATCTGATGGTTGGTCATAATATGCTCGTTCTAGAGGAATTGTTCTATTAATTAAATACAGTTGAGTGTTTCACCAAAATTACCTAGTTTACGGAATAAGTAACTGTAAATTGCCAAATTTTACGAGTAATTGTTGTCTATGTCCCGTTGTCAATTGTTTGGTACAAAGGTAATTAGTAATTAACGATTTTTGTTGCCCGGGGAAAATTTCATCATCCGCATTGGCGTTGCAAATATTAATTTCCTGAACGTTGCGTTCTAATTTATTTACTTTGTTTTTAATAATTTATACAAAATCAAATTTCTGAACGATTTTGTAAAAAAGAAAAGATTTTCTTTGGACTGATCTAAGACAATTTAATTTTTGATGCAGTCAATATAAATAACGACGAGAATGTTCATTTATGAGCAGCGTAGCGGTCTACTCTTAGACTTATGCGTCATAGTGGCTCCCTTTTCTCATAGAGGTAGGATTTGTTATCAATAACGGTTGGCGCGCAACGCGTGAGGAGGTTAATCAACATGGGGCCAAGCTCGAACCACTCAATTCGAATGCAGATTAATGTCAAGGTTAAAAGACGCAATTCTTATGGTTTTGTGCAAAGAGCACGCCTCGATGATCGATAAAACAACGTCACGTTTCACAAACAACGTTTCAGATATTTATGAATTACGTACTTTGTTCGATTCTGTAATTTTTGTTGTCATATTTCCCTGTTTGTGCGTACATTTGCAGATAGGTTATAAATCCAGACAATTTTCGGGGAAAAAATATTTTATTTCACTAGTCAACCAGTGCATCAAATGCCCATTTTATATTTCATTTTATATTAGCGTCGTGGCTATTTCGCGTCGTTTCCAAATTATGCTGAAAATGACCCATCACTGAATCTTTGCAACGAATCAATGTTTAGTCATCCGTCAATTCATCCGAAACAAATTACAAGTTCCAACGTTTAACTTGTGAATCAGGGTCATTCGTGTTCAGAGAAGTTCGAGCTTGGTTTCCTAGTAAACTATCGTAAACTTTATGCTTTCCTTCTGTTGGTGGCGCCCCTGGCAGCAGGTAACCCGATCCTCGCGCGAGCGAAACTTTAAGCCCGTTCGGGCGTCGATTCTAACAGAGTTGCATAAACGATATCTAAAAAACTAAACGCCAGCGACGTTTAATTTTTGTCTCGGGACACTCGGGAATATTTCCTCCGCAACGTACATCAAAATAATTAAAATCGTTGAGGAAGCCTTTAATGTAAACATTCATCAAGCCCTGTACATTGCTCAAAGTTTCTTCAATTTTGATGTCACTAGAAAACGAATAATAACCTTAAACTATTTCTTTCTTAATCAGTCTCATTTATCTATTTTAATTTTTCCATATAGACAAAAATATACTACGAATTTTTTTTATTCTCGACAAATTTGGTTATCGTCGCGCAGCATAAATCTTAGAACAAATCTGTCGGTTGAACTTCTCAGGGCCAGCAGAGAAGGTATGCATATTTTATTTCAACCGCAACCGTAAAATCACTCTTCTAGGGAGAAAAAGATCCCGTTGAGTAATACTAGGGAATTTCTTTTTGTTTTACAACTCGCTTTGAAATGTACGTCTGACGGTTGTGCGCTCGCACTATAGCACGCAGGGAAGCGTCATCTTCCGATTTGCTTTCCAAGTTCTACCGCGAGAGTGATCTTGAATTCGCTAATTTTAGGTAACCGAGAACGCTGATAACACAAAGGAGAGACGTAGACATTTTGTTCACCGGTTCACATTATGCTGTGATAACCCTAACTGGGCGGGATCGCGAACGAACAGTGTACAGAAAGTTCTGACATCAGGAGTTTCTAGGTTATCGTTTCTTTTAGGTTATCAAACTGTATCGAGCTCGTATAAAAAATACCTCGTTGTGGATTCGATCGATTAAAAATCGATTCACGTTCGAAGAAGAATCTAGTGATATCTGATGGCCCAGAGTTCTTTTATTTTGATTTGTCTCTGTGAAAATCGAAATTGCAACATCCTTCGAAGATTCTTAGCGTCCTTAGTTCTGCCGTTGTTATTCTTTTTCTTTTTCCCCAAGTACCCATCCCATTATACCGTAATTTACTTGCTCTATTATATTATTATTACCTTCAAGGATTTAGTTTGAATTAGGCCCGACCGTTTTTAATGTTCGCATTGGAAGGTTGCATTGACGGCCCATTACTTACTTTCGATCTCTTTGCTCTTAATGGCGAACAAAATTTGCAACGTTTACGACGCCGTACAATGTAACGTTTGTACTTTTATTTCCGCGCCAATCGCGGATCGCCACTTTGTCGGGTGTGGCGGTGTTAAGAATAAAGTGTATCAAAATAAATCGTATTCATACGAGTAGAGCGATCATCTTTCATTAACCTTTGGGCGTAACGTGGAAGAGAAACAGTACCGCTGCATTTTCTCAGCCTTTTCTCGATCGCTTTCTGTCGCAGTTACTTTTCGATCCGAGTGTATTTCTTTTTAAATTAAAATTAAAATTCTTTCATTCGAAATTAAAATTTCTTTTTCAATTAAAAATTTTGTTTTCTAGGGGGTCTAGGGGTAATATTTAAGGGCCCACAGTACTACTATTGAGTTTTAAGGGGTCAAATAAATAGACAATGTACAACTCAGATATGCTCAAACGTGGTAGTCTAGAATAAGGAGCACTATTATTGACTTTTGATTCCCCGGTATCTCGGAAACAGTTCAATTTACGAGCATCGGAACTTTTCATCAAGACATAATGAACTGCATCGTATCAAAAGTTCAGCTAATTTAACACTAGATTTACGGAAGTCGTCAATTTAACGGATGTCAGATTTCATATCTAAAATTGCAGAACACGTAAATATTATTTTTCAACAACTTATGTTGAGTTTGTTAGAATACAGATTCTAATTAAAAGAAAAATCGCATTTTAAGGTAATCGTCAACATGAAAGGTATCAATAAATATACGTGCGATCAGTGCCCGTAAATCTAGTGTTAACCGGGGGCCATTTTCCATAAGATCTGTGCGGGGTCCTTTCAACGCGTATAACAATTTACAGAGATCTAGTATTCGTGAAACAATCAAAGAATCGTAAAATAAAACTGGAAACTAAAAATATCACCGAATAAAATAAACTCCAAAAATAATAATCAGAAACTGTGATACATCTATATTTGTAAAACAAGATGAAACAAATTTAATGACAGTTATATCGACCCAAGTAAGTGTCCCAAAGTGAACAAATTAGTTTGCTTTTACGACGCTCTGGAGACTCCCCCACCATTCGAATTCCTTTATTAACGTTGTCAGACTCCATTTCGAAAAGTATAACTGGGTGAAATCGATGTTTTCCATTGGAATCATTTCTCCGGTAAGAAAAATGTAGATTTATTTGTTGGTTTGCGTGGGAAAACGGTCGGTTGGTGCCACCCTGTATAGCTGGACTGCTCCACCGACTGGACTATTAGCGCGAGCGAAGTTCCCAGCGCCGACGACTCGCGCGCCCGCGTGAAAAAGTGTCTGCGAGTTGAATCTGAGCAGGACTCGCGAGAGTCTGTTGCGAATCGTTAGAGCGAGCGGGTGTGCGACTTGTTAGAGCGAACGGGACACGATTGCGAGGCAACCAAATCAAATAAAATCGGTTAGTGGGCGACCAAAGCCATCAATAGTTTATTTACGCTTGTTAAATTATTCGTCGATACCGAAAAACTATTCGATTTCTACCTGGACTTTACTATTCATTATCGCGGTGAAAAATTAACTTTATCCGATTTGTTAGGCGACTGTTGTATTTGTCGTTCCACAACGATCGAAAATAACGCAATGATTAATTAATCAGCGCAGATAACAATATTTTATTTCGAGTAATCCACGATGGAGACTTTTTAGCAACATCTGTCTATTTATCTATAAAAAATTATCGTTCAATTTCACAATAAATCGTGATAAGAGCAATAGAAATTGCAACAGTAAAATTTTATTTTTTCAATAGGTTGAGGTCCTTTTAAAAAAATATATATAAAAATAATTCAGATATTAATAAGTAATTTAAAAATCGCGCGTTAGGAGGTACGAAAGTATTGCAAATTCCAAAGCAAGTCTTTCGAATCCGCCCCAGCTTAGAAGCGTATTTTGGATCATCGTCTTGCATAATGGATTCATTGCCCTCTAATCGTCGCCCCGAGGGGATTGCATAATCGCGAAAGATCCGTTTGTGTTTCTCTTTCTTCGGAACACCATCTTTTTGGATCGAATTCCCTACCCCTCCGGTGCCTATAAAACATCCTCGCGCCGTGATTGAATTCTCTCTTGATTCAGCGTTGATATGATGGAGTCTGGACGTAAAGAACTTCATTTCATTCGTTTAACGACCACTGGAAGCGTTTCGATTGATTTTATTTCCGTGGAAACGGCTTCTTCTTGGCAATTCGATCGTGAAAGGCAGCTTCTATTAAGCGTTTTTTTTATCCTTGCATCGATCGGATTCCAACGGCTAGAGTTAACAATTTTCGTTAATTTTACAGTTTAAACAAATTTCAGAGCAGTTCAAATTACAAATCGAATTTTGAGATAAATAAAATTCATCTACCAGAATTTCAACGTCGACAAATAATTTTTTAACGATTAAATGATAACAGAAATGGAGTCGAACGCTAAGATTCGACCAGTTCTCCATGAAACGTTCGAAGCGCCGCCATAGTTTCACTTACTAGGATTTCGAATCCTCCCGCCATGCCCGCCATGTTGGAAACACTACTAAAAACTGAGCACACCATCAATAACCATATATCTCACGCGATTTTCGTTATTTTTACTCCAAAAAAATACCGTATATACTCCAGATGTAGCTAAATGTACGCACAAAATTCCAGTACGAACCAGCTCACAGTTTAAGAGAAAAAAAATTGCAAACAACCCCTAGAAAATATATGCTCGAGATACCGCCTGTTAACGATTATTTACTTCCATAATAAATTAATAACGCATGTTGCTCGCGCACGGTGTTGACGAGACCCCGTTTTTTCTTATCTGTAGTTCTCGGACGTCCTATAGGCAGCCGAAAACCAATCGAAAACCTAGTCAACGATGGCGCTCGCAGATAAGATGGAATCGAAGGGCAGCTGCAACGATATTTTCAGAGCGTCGAACGAGGATACGCAGACCGTTCAGGGCGAGGGGAATCCTCTGTTAGAGGCGGATCGAAAGTTCACGTCGGTGAAAATCGACGCAAGATCGAAGAGAATGGACGAGGGCGACCAGGCGTCGATGAACAATTTGAGAAAAGAGACGACGGAAACCGACGATCGAAACGTCGTTCCACCGCCGGATGGCGGGCTTCGAGCCTGGATGATCATGATCGGCAGTTTCGTGATCAATGGTGTCCTCTTTAGTGTCATTAATTCGTACTCGTTGATCTACCTCGAGCTGCAGAAGCGATTATTAGAGTCCGGGGACAGTTCCGCGTCCGCGAAGGCGGGTAAGTCTTTCACAATTACAACGCGACGGTTTAAGGGACGTTCGATCGTGTTTGGAGGCGTGGATTCGCAATTTGAATCATCATGCTTCATAGAAAAGTGATCTCACGCTGCAACGGGCCCGAGAAACTTCCATATTTGGTCATAATATCTACAGATTTTGCATCCCCAAAAATTTTTTTTTTTTTTAAATTGTTTCCCTAAACTTCTCAACGACTAACTTTTATCTACGATACAATTTCGTTTTTTTGTATAAACCGTATATCTCGAAGAGATAAGAGGGTAGATCGTATTCGATTAGAACGGCTCGGTGAATGAAGATAAGACGGGATCAATCGGTATTATACAAAACCGGCTACAATTAGTCAAGTGCACGCGTATTTGTTCAGACTTTACAACTTGTTTTTCGCGATAACCACGATACGAACATTTATTTTTGCACCGAGGATCGTCCGCTTCTCGATCGTACTACGATCACGGGACGTGTCTCGTACACGAACGACACAAGCTCAGAAATAATATGTTTCGTCTCGTATTATATTTTTGCGTTATTACATAACGGTAGATAAAAGCAAAAACAGAACGCTCCTCCGTGTTTGTTTCCGTAAATCTTTGTTCGGACGCGATCGTTCGGAGCAGTCAATGAACCGCGCTATCTGAACGTTTTTAATCGTTTATCAATTCTTATTTCGATAACGCATTATCTAATAGTTTCTTATAACGGACGGATCGTTGAACTCTCACGATTTCATTCACATAATTTTGTCGTTAACCGTTCTAGATCATCCTCTCCATCCGTCCATTATTGACCAACAGAAAGTCACGCTGAAATATCGTCTCGAAATACATTATTTACTATGCGTTTAAAAATAACTGTCGGCTTCGAAGCTGAGATAAAAGTAATCGTTGTTTTAGTAATCGTTGTTTCTGGAATTCGTGAAACGTTTTTACCGATTCATTGTTCGCGATCGAACTCGGTTACGCGGACAACTATATCGGTAATAACAAATATAATTTCTTCGTTGATTCGTTCGTGGCCTAAATTCGCTCGCGTACGACGGTGAATTAAGTTCCGCGTACTGGCAGTTTCTTAGAGTTAATCGTTGTTAAACGCGGCATGGCATAATTACTTGGGGTGGCGTATCAATTAAACCGATCGATCAGGTTAATCATCCGCAGAGTCAATGCTCTAGACAACCTGGATCTGAATTAGTCGACAATTACACGGGGTATTAATAGTAACGAGGGTCAAATAATATTAATCTAGGGGTAGTTACTCTTTAAAGGAAAAGTAGGTCTTTGGTAAGCAATGCGGGTAACGAACGACTACCAATCTTTTATTGACTATTAAAACGACATTTGGCTTCGTTCTATTTCGTATAGTTGAACTTTCATCCGGTTTTAATTCGACTGGCATTGGGGGATTATTTTCTACGAAAGTCGTCGTGCGGATCGCGGGGCAAACAATAATTTATCGTCGAGACGGTCGAAGGAAATTTATTCGAAAAATAATAATCGCGCGGGGGGAATGCATTCTATTTTGTTTCAGCTTTGGTGGGATCGTTGACCATCGGCACCACGTTCTTTTTGTCGCCGATCTCTGGGATCCTCACCGATAAAATCGGCATCCAGATGACGACTTTTCTGGGCGGCGCTCTCGCCTCCAGCGGCATGCTTCTCTCGTCGATATTTTCCAGCGAGGTAAACTAAAATTTTTACAACCTTAATTTTAGAAACGAATCAAAAATTATTCTTTCGTTAAAGAAAAAACTTTACGAATTAGCAAAAATGTTTGAAAAATTTAAAGACGCGTTGATTACAGGAGAAATAATGTACAAACACACCCTCTGTTTGTATCATTTCAATTTACATTGCAATAGTACATTATATATAAAAGATACAACGCGCCATCGTGATCCTTTCGCGTTCCTTCGGCGGCCATTTTAAAAATACGATTCATTAACGATTTAGAACGCTATTAACGTTTTTCAACGGTCAATTTTTACCGATAACGTTAAAGAATTCGAAATGGAAATTAGAAATTACATATTTGCACGTGCTCGAAACGTAAACATAGTTTTTCCTCCACCCGCTGGTAGATTTATTGCATTTCGTACCATTTGCAAATCGCGTGTTCAAAGGAACGTGATCGCAAGAATAAATTCAGCGCGTAAAAATAACGAAAAATGTTGTGCATAAATATTTGTCCTATTTGGCATTGTTTTCGAGTTACAGGCGTTGTTGCATTTCAATAATTCTCGTTACAAACAGAATTAGCGTAACTGTCTCCACTCAACTGTCTAATATAAACGTTTTATCCTCGTGTGCGACCGGGCTGACTGTTTATAAGCACTTCCATAATGTTCGTTGAATTATTTCTATATTAATTCTGTATAAACAATTCTCGCCCCTTAATAATATTTAGCATTTTCATAGAAACTAAAAAATTCAAATTTTAATATTTGTTCCTTGCGTACGAATCCTATTAAAAGCCTGTTCATTATTCTGGCTTTATTAAAATATTACAAAAGGAAGAAATAAAATCAGAATATACAGAAAAATAATTCGCCGGAGAAAGAAATTACTAAAATCGTTGCACTGCGATCTCTATATAAATTAAGAATCTTTATTTAGACAATGTGATTCGCGCGGAATTAAAAATATAACGCTAGGCTAAATGGAAGGAACACAACTTTGACACTGTCAATGTTTAACATTCGTTTCGGGACATTGAGCCGCGAGGAGAATGGCAGGGGTTAAGTGAATTATTTGATTACGTCCCACTTGAAATTGTGCATCGTGTGTGGTTTATGCACGACGGTGCTCCGTCTCATTTTACTCGTTTGTCGAGACGGCTCTTAAACGAGCAATTTCCAAATAAGTGGATTCGACTTGGGGGAACTTGTCTTCCGACCATCCAGATCTCTGGATTTAACACCTCGACTGCATTAACGAGGAGACAAGCCTCTCAGAGCTCTTAGTAATCATCCAATAATCATCCATCTTTTTTTAGCCATTCAACAGAGGTCTAACATAGCATGTAAATTGGTGAAAATCCCCTTCAATTTCACCCTTTACGGATACCTTCTTATCGTTACACCCTGTACGTGAAATATGCACGTTGTCATTATTTACGCGTTGTTCCATACATACATCATCCTTTCTATCATAGGAACTTATCATTGTTCGTCCCCCATTCTTACGTATGTTTTCTTGCATTTATTTCGCGTCTAGCACCATGTTTTCACGTCCCACGTTCTCTCTCTCCACCCTTCCTGCCCTCTCTCTTCTCTTTATTGCCACCGACCGTCCTCCTGGCATCCAGAATTTCTCTTTTCTACGCCCCCGACCGCCCTTCCGCACTTTACATCATCGCGCCTGTCCAACACGTGCTTCCACGTCTCCCCCATTCCTCTACATATTCTGCACATCCCCCCAGCCCTTTGCAGAACCTGTCCCTCATCTCATTTTCCAGCCTGAACGTAGCCAGTCTCACCGTGAACCTTTTCCTTTCCTCACCTTTTCTGATATCTCGCTGGTTCTATTGTTACCACCACGGGCGAGTGATACGAGCAGACCTTACACCCTATGGATTTTCGTGGCCCAATCTGACTGCCATACCGATTCGAAAATTCGACGGTGATTTTAGCGTCACCTTCTCATGGATGGCGGTCGGTTGAGAAACTATTCACTGAATTAGTATTGATGACGAGACAGCTGTAGTGTGTGCGTAAATACATGCGAGTTGAGTATAGAAGGGATTGAAAAAGGCAATCTAGTATTATCAGACACACACTAATGCATAGCTACCTTGTATACGAGTTCTGGCGCTTCGTGTAGCTTCAGGGATTCGAGAAAGAAGTAGTTGATTCTAATGGTCTCCCACAATAGCGAATGTATTTCATTGAAATTTATCTATCAAGCTCATGGATACCTACAAAAAGGTGTTAAACAACATTTCGGTAGAGCGTGAAACAACTTTATTAAAAATCAAACACGAATTTTTAAGAAAAATCGATTGGGGTAGGTAGACATTTTTCGTCGAAAAAGAATAAATTTCAAATCGTTCTGAAAAAATTATTTTTGATTGCAGGGGTCAATTACAATCGTTTTTTGTGAATAAACATACCCTCGAAATCCTACGTGCTTTCGAGAAAAAAATTCGAGTAGGTGGACAAATTCGACAAAATTAAAAAATTTCAAATCGTTCTGAAAAAATTATTTTTGGTTGCGGGGATCAATCATAATAATTTTTGATGAATATACATATCTCCGAAATCCTATGTATTTTCGAGAAAAAAATTCGAGTAGGTGGACAAATTCGACAAAATAAAAAAATTTCAAATCGTTCTGAAAAAATTATTTTTGGTTGCAGAAGTCAATTACAATCGTTTTTTGTGAATAAACATAACCTCGAAATCCTACGCGTTTTCGAGAAAAAAATTCGAGTAGGTGGACAAATTTGACAAAATTAAAAAATTTCAAATCGTTCTGAAAAAATTATTTTTGGTTGCAGGGGTCAATTACAATCGTTTTTTGTGAATAAACATACCCTCGAAATCCTACGCTTTTTCGAGAAAAAAATTCGACTAGGTGGACAAATTTGACAAAATTAAAAAATTTCAAATCGTTCTGAAAAAATTATTTTTGGTTGCAGGGGTCAATTACAATCGTTTTTTGTGAATAAACATACCCCCGAAATCCTATGCACTTTCAAGAAAAAAAATCCTTTACCGAAAATATAATGTCTGGCCAGAAATGGTTCCCCGAAAATTTATGCGTGTGTTTAACAAATCATAACTCCCGAACGGATTGGAGGATTTCTTCACTGGATCGCTGACCTTGATGCCAACCTCATTGTTGACCGTCCACGACCATTATTAATCATGGAATAATCAATGACTCATTAAAATCATCACGATGTCGAAGATCAAAGCCTTCTTGCAAAGATCAGCTTCTGGAATCGGTTTAAACCAGCTCGAGTTATTTCTAGAATCGCTGTGCTTCAGGTGGCATTGCTATACTTGACCTATGGGGTCATGTACGGACTCGGCGCTAGTCTGGCCTACACGCCGAGCCTGGCCATTTTGGGGCACTATTTTAAGAGGTACTTGGGCCTGGTGAACGGAATCGTCACGGCCGGAAGTTCGATATTCACCATCCTGATGCCATACTTCATGGAGATCCTGCTTCGACGTTTCGGTTTGGACATCACGCTGAGATGCTTGGCGGTGCTCACCGCGACCGTCATGGCGTGCGCCTTACTGTTCAAACCTATCCCAAGTACGTCCAATTCTCTATTATCGTTTGTTTGTTCACCCCTTTCAGTCGCTTCTCTGAATTCTTTCGATCGTTTCACTCGACCATCGTGGATTAAATGTCTGTTCCCAGTCAACTCCGACCCCGGGGATCAGTTGAAGGCAAAAACGAACTTCCAATCTTGCTTGAAGGAAGTCGTCAACGTGTCCATTTGGAGGAAAAAACGATACGTGGTTTGGGCTAGCTCTATTCCTCTTGCTCTGTTCGGGTTAGTATTATCATTATCTCAACATACTATCGCTTTCGCTGCAACCGTAAGTATATTATCTATTATAGAAATTCTTATTCCTTGACAAACGGTTTAACGATCATCGACGCTTCGATATTTCTATCTGTAATTTCCCTGGACGCTCGTGTAATTTTATATTTATTAAATTGTTCGCGCAACTGTTCTTCGATTTCTTAATTACTCTCTGTCGTTGGAACACGCGGCTGATGGATAATATTGGATCGACAGAAGGTGTCGCTTAAAACGATTTCAGCCGCCGCAGAAGCGGCGACGACTCGCTGCCGTGCATGGTTGTGAAAGAGAACTTGTTTCTCAACGGCAATCAAGTTACGCGGCGTGAAATTTAAACCATTGTACAAGAAATAACCGCAGCGAAAGCGTCGAGCGTATAAAGTGACATGGGTTTTCAGATCAATGAGAATGTTCATTTCAGGTATTTCGTACCGTATGTTCATATAGGGAAATTTGTTCAGAAGGTATTCAAGGGCGACGAAAAGCTACCAATCATGTGCATCGGTATCACTTCCGGCATCGGTCGGTTACTTTTCGGTTATATCGCCGACTTGCCCCGTGTCAACAGAATATTGTTACAACAGGTAAATTATTCAACGATTTGCATCATTACTTTTTCAATAAACTTTTTAAATCAAATTATAATTTTCATCTCGATATAAACTTCAGCGAATTAATGTACAAGGTTGTCATTTTCATGGGTCGTTTATTTAACACTAGATTTACGGAAGCTGACAATTTGACGAATGTCTGGCATTTTTTGCAGAATTGCAGAACGCGTAAATATTATTTTTTAACAACTTGCGTTGAATTTGATTGATAAAATGGCATGAATACATATTCTAATTAAAAGAATCATTATCAATAAATATATGTGCGATCAATACCCGTAAATCTAGTGTTAAAAACCCGATTTTTATCAGTAAAAAATAACATTAAAGGGATATTCCTTTTCATTAAACAAAAAGTTATAACTCTCACAATTCTTAATGTTTTTTGATGAAAAAAATACTGTACACGCTAATAAGATGAATAAATATATTTGCGAACTCTCAGTACGAGACAGCCTACCTAAAAAGAGTCACGAAAAAGGCCGAGAAAATGGCAGTCTAGGCAGCAATACCTTCTTAAGGGGCCATTTTACCTTGTTTGTTGGCACGGAAAATACATGTTTCTTTGTGATTTTTTTTTTTGCGGCCTATTGAAGAGCGATTAATTCCGTGTTTTGCAGATACATTTATTATGTATTTAACTATATTAATGAATTTTTGCAACGCATAATATCTATTGATTACGCTGTTTTTGTTGATCAACAAACAACAGTTTTTACGAACGGCGCCCGACTGCGTATGTGATATCTCGCGAACAAGTTATCCGGAATCCAAAAACCAACGATATTCTTAATGTAGATGAGTGTGGTTATAGAACGAACAAGGATCTTTTCAAAAAAACAAAAAATGGCAAAATGGCAGCTATGTTACGAAAAAATACTGAATGTTTTCATATATTCGGTTGCTTTTTCGTTAATAAAAGAAAAAGTATTGCATATATCGCAATTATCCTAGTTCGTGCTATAGGGAGACCAGTTCTAAAGATACTGTATTAATTTCATGTTGATATCTTCACTAGGTTTTTCCTTATCACATACGCAGTGCCGAAAAATGTAGTTTCGAGAAAAACAGGTTTTAACCCTTTGCACTCCTATGTCGAGTGTGACTCGACATCAATTTTTATCTCAGGAGCTCCTTCGTCAAGTCCCATTCGACATTTTTTCAAGTCCAAACCAAACAGATATCATACACTTGAAAATTACAAAATACAACAACAGCGTAAATGAAACACTTATTTTAACAGGTAAATTTCAAATAAAACACTTAAAAGCATTGGGAGCCGCTGGTAACAAAATTGGAATATAATTTGAAGTGCAAAGCGTTAAAGTTTCACGTCGAGTTGTTATACCTGCGCGCGGTACATTTTAGCAGGCTATAACTTCGTTAGTTTTTCAAATTTCAATTTAACATTTGGTAGATATATTCTCGAGACTACATACTAAAAGAAAACGCAACAAAAAAAATTCGATTGTTTAAATCCCACAAGGTAGAAAGTCCCCTCAAGGAAAAAGAGCGTTTTGAAACTAATATATCTAGCGAAAGATTCTCTTTTCTTTTCCAGATATCGTTCGTTAGCATTGGTATTTTGACGATGCTTCTGCCTGTCACGCCTTCGTTCACCGTGTTGTTGCTCATAATTCTGATCATGGGACTGTTCGATGGATGCTTCATATCTCTTTTGGGCCCAATTGCGTTTGATATATGCGGTCGAGAAGGGGCAACACAGGCCATTGGGTTCCTACTAGGCATGTGCTCCATACCACTGACTGTAGGCCCACCGATCGCTGGTCTCCTCTATGATCTCACCGGTGATTGCATTTTAAAAAAATTTAACAATTCTAAAGAATCCCACGCAAAAGAAAATATCAAAATAACCACTGTATTTCTCGCTCGAAAGGCACACGTGTCTGAAGAAACGTATGTACATCTCCAACAATTCCTAAAATAGTAATTCACAATAATCTCACTTCCCCAACTTTTATTCCCATCAAAAGTTCGTATTTCTGTACCGCTATTTACTTAAACATTTTTACAGTAATATTCTTACGGTAGTCGTTCGATGTACAAGCCTCCAACGGCGTGTAATAAATTAAGGTTAATTCGATTAGCATTTCTAGTGCCAAAGGTCAATGATATAAACGTATTTAAGAAGCACTTTAGAGACGTTACTGAAATTCACACGGCAAACAGAAACACCGCGGTTTAAATGGAGCCGTTTCAAGAGAGAGGCAACCGGATGAATAACTCGTGGAATTTGTTTTTCTGTTACAGGTAGCTATAGTCTACCCTTCTTCCTCGCTGGTATCCCGCCGATAGTGGGAGGGCTCATGATGTTCCTAATAAAGTTCGTTAAAGACGAGGAGCAGAGCTCTGTTAGAGAGAATTCGGAGAATAAGGCAGCTTGTCAGAATGGTCGGTAAACAGGTATTTGTGCATCCATTCATCTAACTAACAGAGTTTGTTTCTCCATGTGGTATCAAAACACGGTCGGTTTGTAAAACCGTTTCCGCGAAGGCAGTTGAAACCTTCGTGGAAAGCTTTTCGAATAAAATAAAACACGAATCCGGCCGCTCTCGAGGGGAACAGAGCATTTGGTAACAAAAAAATTCAATATTTCGTGAAACTCTTTTTTTTTTTTTCTTTTTTGGCTTCTCTTGTTTCTTTTTCTTTTTTGTGTGTATTGCATCGTTTGCTGATATTCGTAGCATGCTTTCGCAACTGCGCTAATCCTTTCGCACGACGGTATTGTAAATGTAAAAAAAAAAACTCGACAAAAATTCATCGGGCGCAACGGCTAATTGCTTTCGGGGGAAATGAAAAACATTAAAATTGCTTTAAACAACTGTCGCTGAGACAATTAGGCACGGAAGTTTCTGTTCTGTTGCATCACTTGTTCGTCAATTGATTGAATATATGTTAGTTACGATCAGTATTTACTTTTTATTGTATAGAAACGATTATGTTCGCTTATTCTTTTTACTATTCTGTTTATGCGTTTTAAATGCGTCTCGCTTTTTTAATTATGTGACAGATATCCAAAAAGAAGTGGACCAGAAATGGAAAATGTTTCGAAGGGTTATTCTTAAAATTAACGTATCCTTTTAAAAAAAACACACACTTTAAACGTTTAATTGGTTATTTCATATTCCATTTCTGGTCCGCTTGTTGTAAACAAAAATAAAACTGTTCATGGTACTTTAATGTGAATGGTACACTTAAACATAATTGTAAAGTATTTTATATAGAGAACAAAGATTTTTAATAAACAGAGATTAAGACCTGCGATGTAAAATTGTTTAATTTTCATTATTTTATCGAAACGGGCATTTTCTTTCGAATGTAGTGCTACTGTCGCGTTTCCAATAATGTTTTAAACCGAACGAAATTAACGACCCTTGACTGAAAGGTTAATTTCTAATTACAACGAGAACGGTAACTAATAAATATTAATATTTCATTTCATATTTTGTTAAACGTGATGTTTTCGGTTAAGCATCCGTTTTCATTTTATTTCTTGGAACATATAGAAAGGGGTCAGTAATTCATGCGATACTAGTTGACAAGAATGACCCCGTATGTCAAAAGCACGTTTTTTCGTTTATTACATGTTCCGTGAACTTGTTTAATTAAAAAAAAGGCTCGCTTTTGTTTGACGGCCCGTACAATTCTGTAGCGCGTTTGCAAATGAAAAATGAAATAAAACTTAAAAATGTCCGCGAACGTGAATGCGTTGTTTTGTCATGGCGAATGTATATGTTCGGTGAATGAAAGTTTGCTTCTAAGAACTAAACTGGTACAAAAACCTCCATGCATATGTTCCCTTTCCCCCTGAACAGACTTTGAACAAAAAACAATCTGTGCTTTCCTTCTGTCGTTTGTTGTAAATAAAAACTCTACGCTTAACATTTTCGTTCGAGCGAATCGTGCGACTGTAATCGCTATGATTATTTTCGGTGTTAATGGATCGATTCAAATTTTTGTGTCTTGAGCAATATGGCGGCCAACGGAAGTTACGAACTGTTCGCTGTAGAGTTTTTATAAGTATTATAAGCGTTTGTTTCAAAGTTCCTAAGATCGTCTTTTATTCCTTCAAACGATCGCTATTTGTGTGTTACAATTATTTTATTTTATTGTAATTTACTTAAAAAAAATGGCGCATAAAAAATGTACAGGTCCAGAAATATAGCGTGCAATTTTGTTTAAGAAAGGGTGTATCGATGGAATTAGATGAGAAACAAGTGAAAAAGCAATATACTATGAACAATCATATTTAACTTTACCAGAATCAAATTCAAAAAACAATATTTCACAATTTGTATAATACCAACAGCTATGTTTATATTTTCTTAATGGATTCCATCGAAACACATCAAACAAAAACAAGGTTTCAGGTCGTTCTCTTTTGTTAATACACACACTTTCTATATTTACACGTCCCTAAGTGGAAGCGGAACAAAATTAGCGCAACGTTTAACGTGTTAAATCATTGTTTCGATTGCCTCTACTCGGTCCAACGAGTCGAGGAATAAACAAATGTACGTGATCGGCATTTGGGCGGGACAGGGTCGGCCCTGAACATCAACAATTGATTAGCGTTTCGCAGCCAGTGGCTGGAGTCATCGCGTCCTATCACGATTTACACGCGAAGGTTTGTTTGGCCGCCCTGACACGATTCGTTGGACCTTATAAATGCATCTGTTCCACCAGATTACGCTATATCTCTGGACAAATTATACTATAGTAGTGTATCTTATCGCTTGTAGTATAATCTCCCTATAAATCTAGGAAGGAGATTATACTATAATCGATTAGACCCACTTTTCATCTCTGTACAGTACATAATCTACTCAAATTTTGCTACACTTCACTGGGCCAAAATACTATACCCCCTGGATCATTAAAAAATTCTACAAGATCTATAGAATACTAGAACATATGTAGAAACAATAGATAAAAAACTGAATGGTACCAAATATGAAATTAGCTCCAAAATGGCGGCCTGTAATTCGTGTCTTGTACACCCTTTTCTCATGATCCAGGTATTCAGAGATATTCAAATCGTTCACTAACACCTGATACAATCAATAAATTTTCATCTCTGTACAGTACATAATCTACTCAAATTTTGCTACACTTCACTGGGCCAAAATACTATACCCCCTGGATCATTAAAAAATGCTACAAGATATATAAAACACTAGAACATATGTAGAAACAATAGATAAAAAACTGAACGGTACAAATATGAAATTAGCTCCAAAATGGCGGCCTGTAATTCGTGTCTTGTACACTGTTTTCTGATGATCCAGGTATCCAGAGGAATTCAAATCGTTCACTAACACCGAATACAATCGATAAATTTTGCTTAGTTCAGCCTTGTATATACTTCTCTGCAATACTCGCCCTACTCAGTGGTCTTCTTTTGCAATTCGTTTGCGACAGACACGTCTGGCTTCGAGCGGCTACTTTTTGGCCCAGTTTCAAAACTGTTTCGCTTACGATTCACAGGGTACTCGAGCATCGACTTTCTGCCCCACTGCTTCGTGGCTACTCTTAAACACATGTGCGACTCGCAGGAGCAACCGAGCTGGCAGACGATGCGTCGCGACGCACGCAACCACCGCCCAAGATGTTGCGGATTCAGGGGGGCCGTCCTCTGTCAGGATCCTGGGACGAAGCGTCTCGATCGTCAGCAACGCTCGGAGAGCGTGCCGTTGCTGCACGACGAGAGCCAATCCCTCAGGAACGACGCTGACCTCCTCCACAGGACACCGCCGTCGTCGATGCTGCTCACGTTTTAGTTCACGCGCAAACAAAACTCTCTTCGACCGCGTCGTCGAGGCCTGGGCTGCTGGCAGTTCAAAACTGTTCTGACTTTCGGGATGTGAGCTGTGCCCTTTTGGAGATTTGCTCAATGCTCTGTTTTATCCACGCTTGGCCAGCGACTAACACAGTCAGACACAAATGGTATTCAAGGAAAGGCTACCAAAGTAAAATCAAACGTTCAGGGTGCTTTTCCTTGCAGATTGTGTTGGGTCGAACGAGGGATAATCGAGGGGTAACCGATACACCAAGCTACAGAAATTCAAATGTTTCATTTTATAAGTCAGATTCTAGTTTTTGTATCACCAGCCCTCGCTTGGCCACTCTCTGACGTTGTCAGAAATAAATTGAACTGCAAGGAGAGATTTTCCTTGTAGATGTGTTGCGTCGAACGAGAGCTGGCAGGAGCACTTAGTAGGAAACGATTATTTTGTAAATATTAATTTTAACTAGGCTCGATTTCTCATAAAAATCTCCATAGTGATTCGACGAGTTTCAGTATGATAGTTGTACCGAAATCGACTGGTTACTCGAGGCCACTTTCATAATCGTCAATTATGTTAAATATTCCAGTTAAAACGAAAGTACCTGCGACACGGAGCGAGACAGAGTAGCCAGTGGTAGCCGCCAGTTGATTTCAGTTAAACTATAGCTCTCAGAGAATCAATTTTCGAAAGAGCACGGTTCGTACTTGAAAGACTGCGATGCTTTTACAACTGCAAAGTAATTATATTCGTGGAGTAGCTATACATAGTAGATCTGATTGCAACCGTCAAAGGGAGTAGTCTATTTTTGACGTTTTGTCCATTCCTCGGTGGACGCAAAGAATGTTAGAAGAGTCGTAAATTTTAATGGTTTTGGAAGGGTGTCGAATGACGAACATAGATCGGATTCCGTAGTTTTAACAACGTAATTGACGTACCTCGATAGTCTGTACCACGTTCATCGCGTACAAATTGAAGTTAAGAAGAGTAGGAAACGATCGATTAACGTAGCACAATAAAGTCAATCTTACTTCAATTAGAAATGTTTGTTGATAGGAAAATTTCAGGAAAAACGAACGTTCTTCCTGTGATTGTTCACGCCTTGCATTTGCAATTTGATAAACAATATTAGTGTCGACATGTTAGGGTTTTTGATATAATACAAGAAAATAAAAAAAAAATATATATACGTGCATTTAAGAGACAATTTTTTTATAGAAGAGGAACAGTTTTAGAGGTAATATTCAGTTTGAAATATGGCAATGCGCGACTCATCCTGTATATAAAATTTAACCATGACATTTTTAGAACGTGTAATCGTCGAGAAGCCAGATTATTTTTGTTGCGTGTTAGGTTTTAGATACATGCGTTTGTAGTAGTTAATTATTCGTTTCGCACTAGATTAGCCGATTGCAGGCAATCGGGCAGTCAAGCCATGAAAATAGTAAAATGCCACTAAATCGTTGTTCTGCGCTTCGCTTGACCATAGATTGTAAATAGAACAAGAAATTTATGTAATTGTTATAGATTATATTTTTCACCGAGGAAGACGCGTACGAAATATCGAAATATCGAATGAAATTAAATGTAAATGTTGATGCGTATATCATTAGGAATATTTTGACAAGGGTTGGAAAGTTGAATTTTTCTAAAATGTTATCCTGTTGTTCGATTAAAATTTTACGGTTACAGCAATGAATACGTTCTCGATCCTTTCGTACAGATTTTTAAATCGATCTTGAACCTTAGCCCGTGGGGCCCTACTTTATCACCTCTTTTGTACTATTTAACACTCTTACCTCAACTGCATTCGAATGAATAATTCATTAACTTTTTCTAGTATCAAGTTTATATTAGTCACCTAACTGAAATAACTATCTTAATTCATTAGATATTTGTAAAAATTTTATGGTTTCTTGTAGCCGAGGTAAAGTTTCAGTCACGAAGCGAGGGACTACTCTACAAAGCAATACTCGTGGTAGTATTTTTCTTTTTAAACTACGGGACGAGACGTGTGAAATTCTATTAAATAACAGTCTGTTGCCAACGGTTTCGCGATATGAAAAATTTAAAACGTTACTTGTTCGGTACATTTCATCGCGTTTTAAAAATTAATTCCGATACCTCTGCGATCTGTACTTTCAGATATTTTATATAAACGACGCTCAGCAATATGTCAAATATTTGACGTATCGAAACACGCGGAATAATATTCGAATAAACGGTACAATCAATGGAAAACCTGCAATTTTAAAAATTATGCATCATTGTTATCTGTAATCGATTTAAAAATACTTTTCCATCCAGATTCGAATTTAACGAGGGACATTGTCGGGTAATTGTTAATTATAAAAATTATAATCAAATCGATATACGCGTTTGCATAAAAACGATAAAAGAGAAACACTATGACGGGGATTACCCATAAACTCGACGGATCGAAGGGGAAATTTTCACTGGTAATTGCAGGTCAATTTGCATCGTATGCTCTTCATGGAACCGTTTAACGATTTTGATTCTCCGTTTCCAAAGCATCGTTGCGGTTTTTATCGCCGCCGCAGCGGTTATCGGCGGAGCAACACATATCGGGAAACGGATTGTTATGTTTAGAGGATCATTATCTAAATACGGAGTTAATTGCTTAAATTTACGTAAAGCTCGAAACATCAAGAGAAAACACAATCACGATGTAATCGCGTTTAATACCGTCTATTGCTCGCAGCTTTCAATTCCCTGTTTACGAAACCAGTCGCCATTTTTTTTTCCTATTGATTCACATCGTTTTTTAACGATCAAGATTTACGTGAATTTTTTTTAGCAGGAAATTCGTACTCGGATATGGCAAACAAAAATTTATCTTCCATTTTAGAAATAAATTTTCGATCCAATTTTTATTTTATGTCACGGAATAAAAACGATTCAACGACGTTGAAAACGTGTTTTAGAAAAACCCAAACGTTCAAAAATCGACAAACTATACGATTGATTAAAATAAACGAAATGTTTTTAGCGGGGATAATAGAATCTCGATATATGATCATATATAAGTTCCGTTATAAGAACCGTTCGTTCCACGTTCTTCTATATAACTTCGTGGCTGAAAGGAATCGAACCAGAATTAATAAATGAACTCTCCCAAGCACGTCGAAGGTTTAATTACGTTTTATTGCGTACAGATGGTAGTTTGATCGGTGAGAGACGATCGTCGATGGTCATCGGACCAAAATCTGGCCAGGCAAGAACGGGAAAGCGTTGTATATGTAAACTGGTCGATTGAAGGCAAAGGAGTTCGCGATGGCCAGGGCCGGATTCGATTCGAAGTCTTCCTCGGGGATGCTCGATGGCGTCGTGGGCTCCCTGGCCCGCGGCGTCGTTGTGGTTCTCATTGTCGTCGTCGTCGGTGCCGCGGTGGTGGTGGTGAAAATTGGGGGGTGGCTTGTCGAGCCCGGAGGTTCATAGGCTGGTAATCCAGGGGGCCCGTAATACGCATGCAATCGATTGTTGGTGGGATTAAAGCGTTGACCATTAGGACGCCATCCCCTTGGTTTATATGGCGATAAATCTGACGTTGCCAGTCCGATACAGAGAAGCGCGAGGGCCAACTGGAAAATGGAAAAGCAATTAACGGCTTAGCTGTCACGCACTGTTGCTGTTGTCGTTTCTGAAACACGGTTCAAGTTTGAGTTACCGGGGACCCGGCCGTGTCCCGCGTGTCGTTCGAATTATATCGATAACTTCAATTTAATTTCTATCTTTTTTTCTCTCGTGGCTGTATCAAATGTTATACTTGCTGGCGCGATATCTCGATCAATAAACCGACACTTCAAAGAAAATTTTTTCAAAATTGCGTGTCGCATGAAACAACCAATTTAACATTTGGAACTTCACCGTGCATCGTTGATTTTCGACGAAAACGTTGAGGCACTGAATTTATAACAATTTTTGAATTTATAATCGCTGCTTTCGGGAAATTTGCCAACGTTGCGTTTTAGAGTTTTGTTATCGAAGCAAGGGAATAAAATATTTGAGTAAAGATTTACAGAATAACAGGCTAGGTGATTGCTAGGGGAATATCTCCATTTTGGAAACCACTGGTTCGAACTATAATTCCTCGTTCCTAACAAGCTCGGTTTACCGTTTCCTTCATTCTTGCGGACCAACACAGTTAACTTCGCGCCGAAAATTTGGACTGGCCTTTGCCCGTGTCTTTCGTCCGTCTTTATATGCGGGCTCACGTTTATGAAATGGCGCCCGGGCACCGTGAATACGAAACGATTTCGTTTCGCCGGTCACTGCATACCATTTCGTAACTATAGACCTATATTACGTGTCGGGAATGGCCGTTCGGCGAGAAAAATCACGACGATGTTCTAAATTTTTAACGTGGCGGATAAAAACAAAAACACATTCGTGAACTTCGTCGAAAACAAAATGTCGATCAATTTTCGTGAATCTTTTTTCGAACGAACGCTACGTCTAACGCGAACTTTTTTCTAGTTTATCCAACTACATTTTAGTCGTACGTTTACACTTTTTATACAGTTTTGGGTCATCGCTTTTTACGCGTGTTTAAAAATGGCGTAGGAAGCCAATAAATTGGAAAGATTCTTAGTACGCTCTTCATTCTCTACGAAAAAATATAGAGCTGATTGTACCAACAAACCTTTGCTGTAGGGGATACTTTGATGTAAATATTGCGGAATACTGGGAACAACAGCAGCCATGTTTGTTTTAATTATATCCAGTATTTTTCTCTACGAAGCAATAGAGGCTGAGGAATAGGGTTTATCTGTAGTATTTTGCGTATCAGTTTACTACAGATAACCTTTTACAATAAAAGTTAATACACAGTCTAACGATGTCTGCATTACCGACGGAGTTTTGCATTTTCACGTGGCTTCAATGGTACTCCGACATATTTAAATTAAAATATCTTCTAAAGTAAACGTTTTTCGGTACAACCTGCTCCATACTTTCTTACAGACAATGACGAGCTGTTATCTATAGGTGCAAATGTCCTTGTCAACTTAACCAGCAGTTTTGAAAATATTCAAAAGAATAAGAACACCCCAAGAAGTAGATTTTTTCCCTAGAATCGACTCGATCGAACCATATTTGTTCCCCAAAAAATTGTTAGAGTAAATGGAAATAGGAGAGTTTGATCGACGCAAGTTTGAACATTGATAAATTTTCGAGAAAGCAGGATTCCCCGGGAGTTGTTGTTACAAACAACGGTTTCGGTAAAATTTTACCGCAGGGCACAAAGCGCCGTCGTCGACGGCGATGGGTAATTTCCTCGCCGTCTGGGGCGCTTTGAAACCCAACGGGCGAAAGCACCCGTTGTATCGTAGTACATAAATTTGTCAGGGGTTACGTCAGCGTGGAACGTGTCGCGTATACGGGATGCATTATGAATTCGCAAGATCGCCGCGGCGTCCGTGCTCTTACGCGTACGAATTCGATCGACGTGGTCCAAAAACGTGGCATGCAAGCTAATTACCGGATTGACAGTGAAGCTCACCCGAGTCCGATCTGGATTCCGGCTGCGGATCGTTTAGAACTTGCCGGCTTCCAGACGCCTGCGGTGAATCCTGTATAACAGCCACAGATTAGGTCAACTTCGTCGTGAATCTCCTCGTTTCCTAGCCCCAACCGCTCGCAGATCTCGAAACGTTTTCGAAATACTTTGGTTCGCGTAGTCGGGTCACTTTTGACCAGCGATTGTTTCGATCGTTACATTTACTTTTCTGTCTTCTCTCGATCTTATTTACGATTTTTACAATTTCTGTCATCTTGTTTACAAAAAAACTCATGTTTTCACGTTTCTAAAATACCAGTGGGTCCTTAGTGACCCGACGATACACGACTTTTCTACCTTCTCTCGAAGTTATTTACGATTTTTACAATTTCTGTCATCTTGTTTACAAAAAACAAACTAATCTTTTCACGTTTCTAAAATACCAGTGGGTCCTAAGTGACCCAACGATACCCGGTTATGCGATAGTATCTCGGTCGAAGGTTGAAATTAATTTTGGGGGTTATTCGAAAATTAATCCAATTTCGAAATAACACCAATTCCTTCATGAATTTGATCTTGAGAAAAATAACTTGCTTCTTTCGTCCAGAAGAGCAAATTTTTTACTGCGACGAATAATATTCTCCGTCAGTATCGCCAACAGTATAGAAAATGAACCAATTCGAAGAGTTAGGATGTGAGTACATGCAATGTGAGGGTTCAAAATAATTAAATTCAATATACGTAGTGCTCTCATTCCGGTCTCGATTAGAATTTCGTTTCACCGGCCAAATACGTGCAAATTAAAGTTAGTACACAACAGATGCATGGAAACACCGGATATCGAAAATGGCGGCGAGTCGGATCGTACAATACAAGTTCGATTTATTTTTTTATTTCTTCGACTATTCGTTTACTAAAGAAACTATAATTCTGTTTCAGAAAACATCTACTTTTACCACATTCTCTTATGGAGATAGATTTAAAATTCTAGTACTCCAATTTGTCCTCAGAGTCGTTCGGAATTACGAGAAATGACGTAAATTTTGAGAAACGAATTAAAAGAATGCGCGAAGCGTGCGAGGGGGGGGGGGGGTGAATGGCGGAGA